GAGTGGGGTAACAATGAAATCCTTATCCGCCCCCCCGGCGGATAAGCCGGGGGGGGGGGCCCCCCCGGCTTATCCGCCGGCGGGCCGTACCGGTATAGCCGCGACAAAGTGGCCGGGCGCTGCCATCGCCTGAGGGACCCGGAAATGCCGACAGCATCCGGCATGTTGTGGCAAGATTTTGAAACGCCACAAAGAAAGGTCGACGGCAAGCATGACGCCGCCGGCCTTTGAGGTGTTTCTTTGAAAGTTGTAGCAGGCGCAGCATTTGAAGGCCCCGCACTCACTGCCGGGACTGCTTTGGACTTAAAAAAAACCGCCAGCAGATACATACTTGCCACGCAAAAGGTGCGAAAGCTTGGGGAATTCGCCACGCAAGAAGTGGCCCAGCAAATAGCAGCGGGCAGACAAGGCCAGGGCCAGAGCTTGCCCCACAGAAGTAAACTCGCTCCCAGCGTGAGGGCCGCAGAGCTTCTTCGCATATACCCTTCGGGCCATGCCCTGCGCTTACTTGCCAGGCCATGCCGCCCTGCTCTGTCTTGGGCATGCCTGCAGGCAGCTGCTTAGGGTCCGAAGCGAGAACGAAACACAGCCACGGACTGAAGGTTTCATCTTGCGCGCGCCCACCTTCTAGGGGTGTGCGCCTCCCTGTGCCAACCCAAGCCCGCCGCCCGCAATGGGCCCCCCTGCTTTTTCAATGGGCCCAGCCTGCCATGCACCGAAACAGGCCGCGACAACGCCCACGCCTGCGCGCCGAGGGCTCGCCCCTTTCTTAATAAATGCGGGGCGCCGTCGGTGGTAAAATTCCCCCCGATGGTGTGCTCGACTTATATTCTACCGAGACAGGAGGGGGCTCTAGGCTGGGCAGTCATTTCCTGGGCCGCGGGCCGGGCCGTGCTGGTGACATGTTAGCTTGCCGCAGCGCGATTCAATAGCTTCCGCCACGGCCATAGATATTTAAGCAATTGCGCCGCGCGGGCGACAGCCTCGCGCGCTCTCCTTTTGTTCGCCGGCTTTTTTTTTTGATACCGCCGCCGGCCAATGTGCTAGCTCTAAGTTTCCGGCGCGGCGCAAATCCCCGCCCGAAGTCAGTGATGCGAAACAGGCCACGGGGCCCAGTGAGGTTTTCTCGGTTCCCATTACAGGTTTTCCCGCTTCCCATCTCGGGCCCCGGTAAGGTTTTCCCGCCGCACAGGCCCCGGGGCCGGCCCAGTGCGGCGGGCTGTGGCCCAGGGCAAGCCACAGCCCGCTACCAGCTATCACCCCCGTGCTGGCTCATTCGCGACGCCCCGGCCGCCTCACCACGCGGCACGCATGGCGCCAGGGCAGCAGCTCCGGGGACTTGCATGAGGCTGCGGGCTGAGTGATGATTTCTTGCGTGGCCTGTTTTCAGCGCGAATTGGTAGCCGTCGGGGCTTGTGAGTAGCTTGCAAAGCCAGCGGGGTGCCTGCACCTGCCAACAGCCCCAAGACAGCCTGCACATGTGAAGCCTGGCGCCCTTGTTTGCGAGGCACGCTGCCGGACTCGGTCTATGTGTGTGCCTCTTCTGTCTGTAATGTGATGAGGCCAGGGCTTCTATTGACAAACCCCCTAAACAGGCTTCGACGTGCGAAGCTATCTAGTTTCTGTGTGTGAATTTTCAACGCCATGTCTTTCCGCCTTGTTTTGCTTGCATCCATGGCAAACCTTGACACGCTGCGTCCCGTCATTTTCTTGCTCTACCAGTCCCGGTGGTGCGACGTTTGGCAATTTCCTGCGCATTACTTAAAAAAACCATAAGCACCAGCGGCGTGCCGTGTGTCGGTCCGGGCGCCCCCGGGCTCATCCAAACGGCGCCTTGGCCGGGCCAGTTCATGGGGCCTATTTCGGGGCAGCCCGCCGGCGGATAAGCCAGGGGGGGGGCCCCCCCCGGCTTATCCGCCGGGGGGGCGGATAAGGATTTCATTGTTACCCCACTCAAATTCCATTGTCATGCTGAATAAATTTGTAATGCGATTACTACTAGTAAGGTGCTTTTGCAATGCATAAAAGCCTACTTTGGCGACGCAACCTTCGCGGAGGCGTACGCGCGGACGGGGAGATATGGCGTTCTCAAACGTTACATTCTCAACTGTTACATGATTTGTCATGCAAAATTCCAACCAAAATCGACACGATCAAGCTGCTCGGCATGACAAATCCTCGAAAGGCCAAACAGGCTGAGAATCCGTGCCAAGTCTGTCATGCAAGAAGCGCAAAGTCACCCCTTTACTTTTGCCATTCTTGCATCACAAATTCATGTAGCAGTTGAGAATGTATACAGTTGAGAGCGCCATAGGAGAAACGTGTCCATCTGGATTTCCTCGAATTTCAGCAAGGAGATGCCGCGGTGCGTCATGCTAAACCACATTACCACCCCGCGCGTCACGCTCGCTTCCGCCATCGCAACCAGCTGCGCCGCGCCGGGCATCATGCAGCCGCGCGGGTTGTTTGAGAAGAAAACCGAGAACAAACTTACCCCTTTTCACGCGTTGGGGAGGCTGTTCTGGGACGGCTCGCTGACGGCGGAAGTGCCGAAGGACTATTTGAGATCCTGCTTCGGCGTTATCGGTGGAGATGACTTGTGTACAAGATAGCTCCCGTTCCTTGTTCTCATTTCTCATGCACAACACGCAATTCAGGGGATTGTTTCTTTTTCTCTTCATTTTGCTCATGCATGACCATGATAAGTTTCCATTATAGACCAACGTGCAGGACGATAATCCTGCCCAAATTTGTGATACCGGGGCTGCATGCGCGTGTCGATGTCGATGTCCTTCCTGAGGACGCTTTTGTTGCATCTCATTCCCTCGTCCAAACGAGAGGATGAAAAAGTGGGAGTACTAAGTAGTTGTGCACTCGCATAGGTGTCACCCAGTTCATCGTGTCGCAGGCCAACCCTCATGTTGCGCCCTTGTTGCAGCTGTGTTCCCGTTATGCATTGCAAAAGTAACGCACTCGTCGTATAAATTGCATTACAAATTTTCGCAAGAACAAAAGTGGAATTTGTAATGCTGTTTTACCTTCGGAGGAAGATTTGTCATGCATATTTGCAATTAGTATGAGCGTGCGATACTGTTGCAATGCATACCCATAAAAACTCGTCGAATTCGCTGAACATCGCGAAGTATCCTGTGCAAAAGTCTCGTACTCGTAGTAATTGCCATAATGCATGACAAATCTTGTCCTTAAGGTAAAACAGCACGACAAATTCCAGCTCTCATGCTGAGCAAATATGTAATGCAATTTGTACTAGTACGATGGATACAATACTTTTGCAATGCATACGAAACTCCACGTCACCATTGCACACGACCTGCAACGGAGGACCCGCGTATTAGCTGAATACCAGTACCTCCCGGCCTTTTTCGGTCGCCAGATGCGGGGGGTGCTTTCCGCTGCGGGCCACCAGCAGTGGACAGAATATACGGATGGGATCACGCTTTTTCCCTCGGACCAAATGGGGTTGGCGTCATCCGTGAAAGAAGCGGTCACCAACCCCACGCCTGTCGAAATGGCAAGGTATTTTCAGATGGGGAAGCGCATGGCCTTGGACCACGCGGAGAAGTTGGCGGCTTTGTTGGAATATGAATTGCAAAAATAACGTACTAGTATAAATTGCAATACAAATTTTTGGCTCAGCATTACAAATTCAATTTGTAATGCGGATTTTCCTTAGGAGCCAGATTTGTATATGCATAAATGCAATTAGTACGAGCGCGATACTTTTGCACAGGATATGGAACCCGAGTACGCGATACGCACCGCGATTTTGACCGTACAACAGCTGCTGCAGGCCCAGGAACAGATTGAAGCGCAACAGTAGAAGATAGGTTTTGCCGGCGTCGTGAAAGCAACGAAAGTGCACGCAAAACAGCATTGCATTTCTGCCTACGAAAAATTGCTACTGGCTCAAATAAAGGTAGTACACCGTCTGATGTAGTAGGTAGCGCAAAGACGATACTTCAAGCATGGGTACTTCACAACGCGAAAATTTCAAGTCGTTTGATTGTGATGTAATACGGGTTCCCGTGCTTATTTCGTGTCATCGAATGTCCTACTCTTATCGTACTAACTCGGAGCTCAAAGTACACTTTTCGTTTCGCGAGTGTTGAGCCAGACTTCACCTACAAGCTCGAGAGAGCTGTCGTCGTCGTTGTCGTCCCCGGTCTTCGCGGAAATCGTTATCGGATCGACAAAGAAAACATCGGCATTTTCGAGGACGGACAGATCGAACAAGAATGTTTTTCCAAGGAGGACTGTCTGGACCAGAGGTGATGACGTGTTGAATATATACAGTAACCCAACTGGCGATAAACGTGCACGTACAAGAAACAACTAGAACGCCTGGATGCAGCAGCCCGCTCAGGGAATTCTACTATCTAGTTACCTTGCGTTTAGATGTCAACGTCTGTTGTTGAAAGTGGACTATTTATGACACGACGATGTCCACTTCAGCACGTGCTGTTTCTACAACCCAAGACATCTTCTCGTGGTCCTCGGGCTTGTCGCAGAGTGCACATTTTCATTCAAGAAAGCCGCCTGGCAAAAATTTTCAGCATAAAATGAACATGAGCTACTTCTTCTTTCTGTACACCGCATTATTTTCCTGTTTTATTTCCTTCGCAGACGCTTTTCTTCGGCACGAAGAGAGCTACGAAAAGGTGGTACTTCCCGACGGATTTTTGAACGAACAGCGGGAAAGCCGCGACAAGGCGTGGAAGCCACGACAAGGAGGGAGCGGGTCGCTTCCCACTGTCACTAATCGACCACCAGAACAACAACCAGCGGGAGATCGAGATTTTGGATATGACGAGCGCGCGCAGCAAAGTATTGCAGAAGCCGCGCAAGGTGACTATTCGAGGCTTGATGTTGTTTCAGGGCACCACCGTGAATCTGATCAGGTCCAGAGAAGCCGCGCTTCTAGTAAAAGAGCTCATGAAGAACATAAAGGTACTACAAGAACCAGTGAAAGTGAAAGGGACAGTACCTCCAGGCAAGTAACTGCTTTGACAAAGAACCACAGAAGGGCCGCTTCGCCTTCGGCACAGCGGACAGCCAATTATATGGTTTCGGAGGACAAGACAAGAACCCCGGTCGGGACCACACCAAGAGCACTCCCTCCGCCCTCCGCCTTGCTCCAGAAAGAAGAGCGAAGAGGTGGCGTGCGGCGCACAGGTACTAGCGGGCTGGTGCAACTAGTACACGAAAACAAAGTACATCAAAATTATGCAGAAGGGGGTGGTCGCGAGCAGCAGTATAACAAGAACTTCGCGCAGATAAGTAGTGGACATGGAAATAAAGCAGCGACTACTTCTGGAAGTACCTCTGACAAGAAAATAATCGATTGGTGGACGCAGCAGACGACCATGAACAACAGAAACACGGATTCGAATTACGGCTTCACTTCGACTTCCAACGACCCGTTTTACTATGGCTACGACGGATCCGCCACGAATGGCGACTACACCAACTCCGATAATAATTACTACGATAGTACAACCCCTCTGGCCAGCGGATCTCCTTCGTCCTATCCGGACGCGACGAAAAATTCCTACACAGCGGATTACTACTATAACAACGATAACATCAACACCCCGGTTTTCCCCGTGTTCTACGGCTTGGTGGGCGGCGTCTGGCTTTGGTGGCACCATTTCTGGTCGGTTGCGCTCGGGCTGCGCGCGCCGCCACTTTCCAGTTATGAGTGGAGGTAGACTTTTTTGCTATAATGTGGTGAAGAAGTAGTAGGAAATCAAATGATATTATCCTTCATTCATCTTCAGGACAACAACATTTATTTTAATTATGTCTCGTGTCGGTGTCTGACAAAGAAAGAAGCGTCCTGCTTACTTGTTTTACAGAGCCGCCGCCGAGCGCCAAGCGCGGCGTACTGCGGAGAAACAGGGTCCCTGCTACATATCCGTCGCCGAGCGGCAGAGCTGTCCCGTGCCGGCCGTCGACCTCGGCATGAGTAACACGGTGGAATCTTGCATGAAAAAGGCACACAGGTGCGTGCAAACCGGTTGCTATGGGCGGATGGACACAACACCCGGGGCCGGGGGACTTAATTACATCGCTGGAACAAACAATTACGCCCTGCAGCAAACCGCCATATCAGGTGGAACAACTACAGACGGCACCACGTCGGCGGCTTCTAGTAGCACTAGCGTCCCGGACACCATTTCGTTCGGACGCCCCGAGTTCCCCGGGTCGGCTTTCCGCTGCTTACTGAAGAAAGCGAACACCGTATCAAAGAAAAAAACTTTGCAGGTGTAACTTTTTTGGAGGAACAGCATTACAAACAAGGTCCGAGCACGGGGACAGAGTCCCCGTGCGGCGACCTTCCGGCATTTGTCTGCGCGGTGGCACTGGGCAGGCAGGTCGCTCGCAGCTAGGTATCTCGGTGCGCCTTGCATCCAATGACCCGCGACGGGCCTCCTGCGGACACGGCTCCCTTGGTTGCGCGCACTAGATTCATTAGCCTGCCGCGCGCAAAGATAAAAAGAAAAGAAGAAACTGACGCCGGGTCTGCAGCCGGGCGGCCCCCAGGTTATGGCGCTGCGACAGAGCCCCCGCATTGCCCTAGGGCTTCTCTTTGCCCCCTCCTTGGCCGCCCGGTGTGGTTCCCGGGGAGCGCTTACAGCTGGCCCCTAGGCCATGGCGCGGGGGCCGAGTCCCCGCTTTGGCCTAGGGTTTTCGGCCCTTGGCCGCACGGTGTCCGGGGAGCGCTCCGAGCTGGCCCCTAGGCCATGACGCGGGGACCGAGTCCCCGCGTTGGCCTAGGGTTTTCGCCCCTTGGCCGCACGGTGTCCGGGGAGCGCCCAAAGCTGGCCCCTAGGCCATGACGCGGGGACCGAGTCTCCGCGCTTTCGCCCCTTGGCCGCACGGTGTCCGGGAAGCGCTTACAGCTGGCCCCTAGGCCATGACGCGGGGGCCGTCCGAGTCCCCGCGCTGGCCTAGGGCTTTCGCCCCTTGGCCGCACGATGTCCGGGAAGCGCTTCCAGCTGGCCCCTAGGCCATGACGCGGGGACCGAGTCCCCGCGCTGGCCTAGGGCTTTCGCCACTTGGCCGCACGGTGTCCGGGAAGCGCTTACAACTGGCCCCTCGGCCATGACGCGGGGACCGAGTCCCCGCGCTGGCCTAGGGCTTTCGCCCCTTGGCCGCACGGTGTCCGGGAAGCGATTACAGCTGGCCCCTAGGCCATGACGCGGGGACCGAGTCCCCGCGCTGGCCTAGGGCTTTCGATCGCCCGGCCCCTCGGGCGCACGGTGTCCGGGAAGTGCTTACACCTGGCCCCTAGGCCATGACGCGGGGACCGAGTCCCCGCGCTGGCCTAGGGCTTTCGATCGCCCCTTGGCCGCCCGGTGTCCGGGAAGGAGGCGCTTAGCTACAGCTGGCCCCTAGGCCATGACGCGGGGACCGAGTCCCCGCGCTGGCCTAGGGCCTTCGCCCCGTGGCCGCACGGTGTCCGGGAGCGAAGCGCTTACAGCTGGCCCCTAGGCCATGACGCGGGGACCGAGTCCCCGCGCTGGCCTAGGGCTTTCGCCCCTTGGCCGCACGGTGTCCGGGAAGCGCCTACAGCTGGCCCCTAGGCCATGACGCGGGGACCGAGTCCCCGCGCTGGCCTAGGGCCTTCGCCCCGTGGCCGCACGGTGTCCGGGAGCGAAGCGCTTACAGCTGGCCCCTAGGCCATGACGCGGGGACCGAGTCCCCGCGCTGGCCTAGGGCTTTCGCCCCTTGGCCGCACGGTGTCCGGGAAGCGCTCAAAGCTGGCCCCGAGGCCATGACGCGGGGACCGAGTCCCCGCGCTGGCCTAGGGCTTTCGCCCCTTGGCCGCACGGCGTCCGGGACGGAAATGGTCACAGCTGGCACCTAGGTCATGGCGCGGGGACATAGTCCCCGCGGTGACCTAGGGCTTTCGATCGCCCCTTCGCCGCACGGTCTCGCGTGACTGACAGACTGGGCTTCGGGTCCAAACCCGGCATGACAAAGTCCGAAAGGTTGGCCGGGGTGTGTCCGAAAGTCTGCCCGGGGTGTGTCCGAAAGTCTGCCCGGGGTGTGTCCGAAAGTCTGCCCGGGGTGTGTCCGGGGTGTGTCTGGGGTATGTTCGGACTTTTTGCCTGGGGTATGTTCGGGGGTCTGTCTGGGGTATGTCTGGGGTTTGTCTGGGGTGTGTCTGGGGTATGTTTATACCCCACCTGTTGGCTTTTCGGCATAAAATTGTAGTCCGCCCGTGATTGAGGAGCATTTGCATACCCCTGACACACCCCCGAACATACCCCCGAACATACCCCTCGCATGCATTTTTGACCAGCTGCTGCAGTTTAGATAGTAATCCGTCTGGCATGACAGCAAAAATCTGTCATGCGCAGATAGTACGTGAAAACGCCCCTTAATGGACCCTACGATGCATGCCAAGCATGACAAACGCAATCATCTTGCATGTTGCGCATCACAAATTTACACTAGCAGCGTTTTTTTCTTGGATACACCGGTTGCTACGGGCGGTTGGTGCCGGACGACCGGTTTGACACCTTTTTGCTCACTTCCTGCCGATATCAACTGCAAAAATCCCTGGATGTCTGGAAGAGTCGGGGCTTCTCATGCACATTTTGCATGACCCGTGAGGTCTGTGATGCTGGGGCTAGCATCCATTACAGATTTTTTGAGAGCGTCTTGATGCTAATTACGCATTAGAAATGTTGCCCTCTCTGCGTGCCAAGAGCTGACTCCTCTTGCTGCTCATGCAACACAGACATTTTTAGAATCCGCAGACAGCATTACAAGTTCCACTCTTCCAGACCCAGGCACTTTTTCAATCCATAGCCGACGCGCCCTGCCGAAGACGCAGGTGTGCCTGACCAAACTGGAACACGGGCAGTACTGTCGCGCACCCATGATCTACACGGGCAAAGCCCGGACGCCGGCGGAGTGCGCGCTGCACATCCGGAAACAGGGGAGTAAGTTCGTGTACGGAGATTTCGGGCCGTATGGCGTTCTCAAATGTCATATTTTCAACTGTTAAGTACATGATTTGTCATGCAAAAACAAAATCACATATCAGAATCGACACGATCAAGCTGCTTCGCATGACAGATTCTCGAAGAGCCAAACAGGTTGAGAATCTGCGCCAAATCTGTCATGCAAGACGCGCAAGATCACCCCTTTGACTTTTGCCATTCTTGCATTACAAATTCATGTAACAGTTGTTCTTGTAGCATTTGAGAACGCCATAGGCCGGACGCCGGAGGTTGTTACGAACTGTTCGACGACGGCGGTGAAGGGGTTTTGACGTCATTGTCCACAAGAACCACATTATTCGGTGGAGGTGGTGTTGTATCCAGGAAAAACACCCAGCGGCCCCATCCAATTTGTCATGCAAAACATGCATAAACTCCTGCGTTTGATGTCATGCAGAAAATGGATGGGGATCATGGGTGTTTTTTCATGGATAGGGTACTAGCACAAATTCCTACTCCGCGTCTCTCTTCGACGAGCCGGATGAATTCGCGGACTCTTCGTGCACTCTAGGCTTAGCTATCCTGTGCAAAAGTATCGTACCCGTATTGCAGGCATGCATTACAACTTTTTTTCTCAAGGTAAATCTGCATTACAAATTTTATTTCTCATGCTGAGGAATGCGATACTTTTGCAGTTCATATTGGCGCTAGACGTACATTACGACATGTACCGGGTATCAGACTGTGTAGGCATGCAGATCAAATCACCATGTAGAGCTCATGACACGCTGCAAACACGATGCAAATCCCACCTGAAATCCACGATCTGAAATCACATCCAAGAGCGAAGAGCGATGCAAATCGAGAGATGATGATGTGATGATGATGATGAACTTGTTCCTTTCCCCAATGCAACAGTAACGTGGACATACTAGCAGTAGGGTGCACACCGCCCTACATGGTGGTTAGTGTGTTCTAACAATCTTGAGCCCTGTGCTTAGAGAGCTAAACCCCCCGGGTTTAGTTATAATTTTTTTGTTTATCCCCTTGAGTTTTACACTTGGACGCGCCTAGTTTTAGACTTTGAAAAATTTCGAAAAACTAGGAACCACAAACATGGCCACCGGCAACGAGAAGGATCCCCCGCCGAAGATGGCCACGAAGTTGGAGGCGGCGGAAGATTGGGCGCGCTGGAGTTTTGACCTCTTCCGCATCTTGGAAGGGTACCCGCGCAACCCGCCCCCGACCTCCACCGCCGTCGGCGCCTCCTCTTCTTCCTCCGCCCCGTCCTCGGGAGCTGGTACAGCCTGGAAGGATTGGGCCGAACTTTATGCGGATTACCGGAAGGATATCGCTAGCGGCACGGATATCCCGACCGCCTTGGCGAAAATCGAAACCGCTCCCAGTTGGAACAGCTGGACCGCGAAACCGCTCGCCGCCATGATTTCGCAAAGTTGTGGACCGGACCCCCACCAAATTTTGCGCGCGATCACCGGCCCGCAGCCTACGCACCTGCTTCGCATGGTTTGGGCGCTCGAAAATAAGTACGCCAGTCAGAAGATGGCCACCCGCTTCGCTGCTGTCGTGGAACTTATCCGCATGCGGATGAACCCCGGCGAGTTTGCGGACGAATACGCTAACCGCGTGCGCGCTGTCTTCCGCGAGAAGCTTGGCGGAAAAATTTTGCTGCCTGAGTTCTTAGCCGGCTGCATTTTGTCCGGACTTCCCGACAACTTCGCCCCGACCGTTGCCACGCTCATGGCCAACGAGGTGACCGACGCCGACCGCATCACCACCACCCTCCGCGAGTTCCAGCGCGTTGCCGGCGAAACCAAGACCGAAGACAGCAAGGCCAACAGCGCCAAGGTTGTCGCCTTGGAGAAGAGCCAGGAAAAATTGCGGAAGGAGTTGGCAAGCGTTAAGGCGATCGCCAACAAAGGCAAAGGCAAAACGCAGAAGCCGGAGGACACCCAGAAGGCTAAGCGCTGCCAATTTTGCCGGCACAAGGGCCACGACGTGAGCGAGTGCCGCAAGAAGAAGGCCGCCGACGCGAAGAAGACCGCGAGCGGAACCCCGCCCGGCACCGGTAAGAACAAGAAGGCAGGAGCGAACTGCGCGCGCGTTTTCCCGCTGCAGGTCACCGCCGAGGACGAAACCACCAACAAGCGCCCGCGCGCCCGGTCGGGTTCTTTGTCTTCTGTTGCCTCCCTGCTCTCCTCCTCGGAATCCCAGGAGCAGACGACCGCGAGCAACACCAAGAAGGCAAACACCAACAGCGCCGCCGCTGTTGTCGTCCACACCGCCGAAAAGAAGACCGCGACCGCCCCCGTCCAGCTTCCGGAGCTGAATGGGATCACCAACGGCGTCACGGTGGGAAAGAAGAAAAACACGCCTTGGGGCTTGTCGGATACCCTGCCCATGTTTGTGCGCGAGCACGAGCATCGGATGGCCACCGATGAGAACTATGCGAGAAAGGCGGTCGAGTTGCCTTACACTCTTGCAGGAGAAAAGGCGGAACAAGTTCGAAAGTTCTACGAAACGCGTCAACCACAGCAAAACAAGAACAGTGTGAACCAGGGATACTGCGAGCGTGCTCCGCTCGGTGTGCGTTCTCCGCACCTAAAAACAGTCAATTTTTACTTGGCCAGTGTTCTGCTCGCTCTGCTTCTGTCGGTTTTGTGGTTCTTCGTGTTTGTGTGTTTTACGTTTTTGAACTGCCCCACCCTCGTGATTGGAAGTCCAATCTACCGATTTACATCGTGTCTTGCGAAAGCTGCGACGCAAATCTGGAATCTTTTCGGTCCCTGCCCCCCCAAGATTTTGAAGAAATTCGGAATCTCACTCCCCCGGAATTCTTTCAAGAAATTGAATCCCAGGAGGTTGCTACGACTTCCCTCGTATGCCGCCGGTTGTGCCGCGTATACGAGTCTTCCGAACGTCCTTAACTCCTCCAGGCACGCGCGCGCGCACTTCGTGCAGCAGCCGAAAGCCAAGGATGGACTTCGAGTTTTGAAAGTCATCACGGACAGTGGTGCTACCCACCACATGTTCCCGCATGAGTCAATGTTTGAGAGCTTTACAGGAGAAACCGTGAGTCTCACAACAGCTGACGGCGAATGCTCAGAGCCTGCGAAAATCGGAATTCTCAAGCCCAATAACTTGGGTGCCCGGGTTGCGTTGTACCACCCTGCGTTGCAGGTTTGCCTGCTTTCTGTCGAAACGATGGCGCAGGATGGTGGATCGTACTACCACGCGAAAGAAGAACGATGGATCCAGGATGCCTCGGGCTATCGCCACACGGTCAAAATACGCCAAAAGCTTCCTTGCGTGGGTTTCTACCTCTTGGAAGGCGAGGCGTTGGCGAACGTGATTGGAAACCAGAACTCCTGCTCCGCCTTGCGGTTACACCAAAGGCTTGGGCATTTAGGAGTTCAAGGCATCAAGGTTCATTGCCCTGACTGCGCTGTTTCTAAGTCCTATGGTTCTCAACAGCATCGAAAGGTCCGCCCCGCGACCTATCTCCACAAGGAGTGGATGGACCAAGTTGAGACGGATTTCTTCTCCGGAGGATTACCCGCTTCCATGGATGGGAACACAATCTGCATTACGCTCCGGGACTCAGCCACAGACTGGCTCGAACCTTGGGGCATTACAGACAAAGCGCAATGTGGCAAGGTCCTTCGGGACTTTGCGACACAGGTCGGGGTCCCCAAGGTCGCTCGTTGTGACAATGAGCCCGTGCTCAAAGGCATGGAAGGACCATGGAAAGAAGCCTGTCGGGAAATCAATTGCGTCGCTGGCCACAGCGTTCCACGAGAGCCGCAAGGCAATGGGAACGTGGAGCGCTGGCACAGAACCCTTGGGGACGGTCTTCGGGCCAACCTTCAAGGAGTAGATCCCCGGCTCTGGGATTGGTGTGCGCGCTACGTTGCGTATGTCAAGAACCGAGTGCAGCGGAAAACCAAGTTCCCCGCCCCTTTCTACAAGCGTTTTGGTCGTCAGGCTGATGTCAAACACCTTCGCCGCTTTGGGTGCGTTGCGTACGTTCGCAAGCACATTCCAAGCGACAAAGCCGAGAGCACGAAGTTGGTTGACCGCTATGAAAAGGGAATCTTCCTCGGATACTCCAGGGAGTCAAGCTCGTACGTGGTAGGTGTTTTCCACCATGATGCACGCGCAAAGAGCGGCCAGAGATGGACGACAGTCGAATCTCGGTCGGTCAAGTTCGACGAGGACACGTTAGTGCCCAACGTCAACGCCCTTCGGAAACCGGATAAAGAACCGTCGCAGAGGCAAGCCCCAAACGCCGACGATTCCGCTGGAGCAGTGAGAAGCGATTCCGATCGCCTTCGCGCCGCGCTTGAGGAAGTCGAAAAGCGTTGGAAGCAAACTTCTGAGGGGGTTGAAGAACCGGCTCTGAAACGGAGAAAAACGGAGTCGCCCCCCCCGGCGCCGGAAACGGCCCAGGGCGGAGACAAAGAAAACGAGTCTGCCGGAAGTCCCACCGACGGCGACGGCCGTGGTGCGGCGCCCGCAGATGGTCCCGCGCAGGAAGGAGGAAACTCAGCTCCTGTCGCCCCACAAGTTGCGCCCCAGGTAGCGCCGCCGGACGTTTCAAAGTTGATCGATGACGACCTCAACCCCTACACGTTAGTGGAAAAAGACGGCGTCACCATCAAGAAAAGAAACCGTCGCGGACGGCCCAAGGGCCTCACTCGCGCACAATGCCCCCACTGGCGTAAGCCCGGTCGGAAGCCCAAGCAGCCAACAGCTTCGGACCTTGTGCAGCCCCTTCGAGATCAGCCCCAGGGCAATGGCGCAAAAGCAATTTTTGAAAATGAAGTCGCTAGTGCGTTTGTTGCTTCTCGAGTTTTTGATCAAGAGAAGGATGGCGAGGCGATTTGTTGGACAGTACAAGTCACCAGGGTGGAGGCGTTTACAGGACCAGACGCCGCCAAATGGCTGGAAGCTGATACGCTAGAGCGTACACAGCTAGAAGCACTTAAGTGCTGGAGGCCGTTACAAGATGGCGAATTCGGTAAGGACGACGAGATCATCCCGGCCGTTGTGATTTACACTCGCAAACGGTGCGGAAGATTCAAGGCCCGCCTTGTTGCACTCGGAAACCGCCAGACGAAAGTCATGCGCGCCGAAGTGTTCTCCCCGACCGTTTCCCATGCCGCGACCCGCACCCTGCTGGTTGATGCCGCCGCTTCGGCTAAGTTCGTTGAACAATTCGACATCTCGAATGCGTTCATCCGTTCTGCCTTAGACGAATCGGATAGAGTCTTTGTTCGCTTACCCAAACACTGGAGCACGGATCCCCGTGGCGACAAAGTCAGACTTTTGAAATCCTTATACGGACTCAAAATCGCGCCACGCAAGTGGTATGATACGTATGCCGCGTATCTTCTGGAAGACGGCTGGAAACGCTGCCCCCAGGAACCCGGACTATTCAAGAAGAATGGGCTGACGCTGGCCATCTACGTTGATGACTCTCTCATCTCGGGCGAGAATTTCGACGAGGTGTCCGCCGCCTGCGCCCGTATCCTTGGTAAGTTCGAAGGCAAACTTATCCCCGCAGAGAAAGAAGGCTCTTTCGATGTTCGGGATATCCTTGGCGTTCGTATGCGTTACGATCGGCAACGGAAGACCTTGCGTCTTGATTTGGAGAAAGCCATCAAGAAGCTTGCGGAAAAGTTCAAAATCGACGCTGGAAAGCCACTTTCCACGCCGTGCGTTTACACCGACTTTGATGAAGGAAAGCCGCTGCCGGATTATCCGCTGCGTAGCCTCATCGGGGGACTGCAGTACATTGCAACCATGGCCCGCCCAGATTGCATGTTCGCAGTGAACAGGGTCGCACGAGCTCAAGTCAAGCCTACAGCTTCTGTCGTGACAGCGGCAAAGCGCGTAGTCAGGTACTTGCTGCAGACTTCCCATGTCGTTCTAGAGTACACACCGGAACGGGAGCGGGAATTTCGCAAGCAATATACTGAAGTGCTTGAGGAGCAGAATTCCAAACAGTCCCTCCCGGATTTTGTAGGATTCAGCGATGCAGATTTTGCTGGGTGTTCCGTCACCCTCCGCAGCAGCAGTGGAAGCATTCTCTTTTTCAGGGGCATGCCCATCGCTTGGTCTAGCAAGCGCCAGACACTTCGCGCATACTCAACATGCGAGAGCGAGTACATTGCCCTCTTCGACACGTTGAAGCTATCGCAGGCTCAGGGGTATCTGGAGTGGCTCGATGAAAATCAGTCTCTTCCCGGTATTCTCTTTGTGGACAACAAATCTGCAATCGAAGTTGCGCGCTCGGAGTTACCAACCAAGAAGACGAAACACTTCTTGCTCCGTTTTCATGAAGTCAAGGATCACGTCGAAAACATCGCGCACGTACCCACCGGCGTGAACAAGGCTGATCCCTTGACCAAACCAATGGGAAATCCTTTGCTGTGTTTCCACGCGTGCGCCCACCCATCTATTGACTTAGATGATAGCAAGATAGGTCTGCCGGCTGTCTACGCCGCTTCGGTTTTCGAATCGTAGTCCGTCTTCCGCGTGTCACACTCGAAGGCTGCACATGCCTGCGGAATTGTGTAGGATTCTAGTGCCCGTCTGATTTTCCTTCATCCGCGCCCAAAACTTCGACAAGTTTCTGAGGGGGGGAGGTTTTTCATCAGTTTCGTGGTTCTTCTTTGTGCCGTAGCCATGAGAGATTGCTTGTCGGTCTCGTCGTGAGTGAGCCAAAGACGCTAGATTTATGTTTGCATTTGGAGCGAACCATCATCGTAGCATCGGGATTCAGTGGATTTATGCATCACGGTGTCGCTTTCTAGGATTTTGCAATGCCTATTTTCTATACTTCTGTGACTATCCACTACACCAATATCGTTCCATCCTGTCACTAGGGGGAATGTAGGCAAGTGAATAGTCATGAGGGGGAATGTAGGCATGCAGATCAAATCACCATGTAGAGCTCATGACACGCTGCAAACACGATGCAAATCCCACCTGAAATCCACGATCTGAAATCACATCCAAGAGCGAAGAGCGATGCAAATCGAGAGATGATGATGTGATGATGATGATGAACTTGTTCCTTTCCCCAATGCAACAGTAACGTGGATGCTAGAACTTGTAGGTTGTCTACCGGCCTACATGGTAGTTTTAGTGTTCTAACAGACTGCGAATTCGAATCCAAGTATCGAAGGAAAAAAGAAAACCATACACAATCGTATCTATCAGTCTGCTCCATTTTTTTTTTTTGGAAAACGAAATAAACGTCACCAGTTCTTGCATGCAGTAGGTACTACACATCACAGCATGGTGGAAGATTGATCCGTCAACATGCACGGCAACTGTCTTCCTGTAGCTCTTGCCAAACGAGGACCTGCAAAATGGTGTTTGACTGATTGTGATTAGTGATCATGTTTGTCTTTTTTCTCACCTCCATACCAGCGTGATTTCTTTCGCCTGGAACACTTTTTGCTGGCTGGTTTTCGTCTTGCTTTTCGGAATTCCGTTGTGGTTGTTCCTGTTTTGCTGCTTCCTGTTTTGTATGAAATGTAAAAATGTCTGGGTCTGGAAGAATGCGCGATTTGTCATGCAGCTTTTCCATGACCCATGAGGTCTGGAATGCAGGACATAGCATGACAGATTCTGCGCGATCTTTCCCATGCCAATCCTGCATGAGAAACTGCCTCCCGACTTGGTCAAAACTGGACGACTTTTGGTAATCATGCAATACAGATTTTTGCATGCTTCAGATTTAGCATGACAAGTTGGATTCTTCCAGACCCAGACATTTTTACAGTTGATATTTTGCTGCGACCCACAGTACAGCATCAACGCGTATTTTAACGAGCCGCCGGACGGGTACTTCCTGCGAAACAGCGACTCGAAATATTGAGAGAAAAAATCCCCCCTCCCCATATCGAAAAGGTATGTTTCCGAAAATTTGTCTTGCTGATTTGGGACAACAAATCAACACGTCTGTCTTGCAAGAAGACAACCCCGCAGGCTCTGCCGCATTATGCAGGCGGTTCGTGATGCTGCTGGGCCTACAGCATAGTCGTTTCTCATGCTAAGCGCTGCGCCTAGGCCAAAAGCTCTCTACTCAGGCTCGGCAGGAGCCTGCAGCCCTCTACTGCAAGACAGGCCTGATTTGTATACGCATACCCAGCATCAGAAACTCCCTTTTGATATGCGGAGGGGGGATTTTTCCTTTTGATACGAAAGCTGCGGTGGCGAAGGAACTACAGGCGGAAGCGAATCTGTACGCTCCGGGGCGGGCGCTGCCGCGGGCAGTGGTGCAAGCAGGGGCTGCATCAGGACAACTAGATGGTGGAGGTGGTGTAGCTGGATCGGTAGGAGTACAACTAGGACCGCAGCCAATTTTACCCGCACCTGGAGCTGCAAGAATTCCACCCCAAGACCAGGCCGCGGCCGCGGCATCGCAAGCAGGCCAAAAAGTTCAGACAAACGCCACGAACTACTTTACAGCAAGTGCGGTGGAGAATTACGGTTACATGGAGAGTACAAATGCACCGGGAGCAGGTCTTGTTCCATACGCCGCGCCGCCAGACTCCTCTTTTGTCGCAACCGGAACTTCTGGCACAGCAGCTGCTTCATCAGCAGGCACGGTGAAGACCGCGCTTCAGCAAAGCCGTGCAGTGGTGGAAGAAGTGCCGCAAAAGCAATCGGCGTCCTCCACCGCATCGGGAACAACTACTGTTGGCACCCGTTCGGTGCCGGCGATACAGCAAATGCCAGTACTGCAAGAAGACCAAACTGCCCTCGTTTCTGGGCGGACCGATCAAAACGGTGGACTGGCGGGTACGGCCGCGGTAGCAGCAACAGGGAACAATTATATCAAACCATCGGGGGCAGGAGCAACAACGAGTAGTGCCGACCCGACTGTCGTGACGAGGAAAACGCGGCGGGCTCTTATCAAATGCAAATATGTCTGGTTCTGGAAGAATGCAGATTTTTGTCATGCTGTTTTTGCATGACACAGAAAGTCTGTCATGGAAGCCCTAGGAGCATCACAGATCTCGAGAACGTTCCGCAATGCAACCCCCCTTTTTGGTGACAGAAAACGGAAACCTTTTGCTGCCTATGCATGAGAGATTTGCGCGCGTTGTGGAATTCGCATCACAAATTTTTTGGATCCTTCCAGACCCAGACATTTTTGCATTTGATAGCTCGCGGAGTAGAAGAACAAGTCCTAACCGGACCTCCATCGGCCAGATTAGGCGAGAATGATGAAAATTATGGAACAAATGATCAGCAACAACCGAATGGAAACGTCTTCTTCAGCACGGATGACGGGCAAGCATATTTCTCAAGCGACCAGGTTCGATATGAAGATGGACTGCAACAGTATCGTACTCGTATAAATGCATATACAAATTTCCTCAGCATGAGAAATAAAGTTTGTATTGCGGATTTGCTATAAGAAAAAGATTTGTAATGCAAGACTTGCATTTCTACGAGTGCGATACTTCTGCACAGGATATTCGATCCTCCGAGCAGCAAATAAGCGGAGCAGAAGATGACGGATCTGCATCACCGCGGTTGGCGGGCACGCCGACCGAAGATACGCTGGTACAGGATACGCGAGGGAAAGTTACTCCTTCCTAGGACCTGTTGAATGTGCTGGTGTTGGTTCCTGTAGATCAAGGTACTAGATGTTGACCGTGTAAAAATGATGAAAAGGGGTCTGAGCTTCATGTTTCAACATCTCGTGTGCGACCAAGATTATATCGACGTCGACGAAAATGTACGATTGTATTAAAATTGATAAAATGTGATACTGAGCACAAACACCGAAAATCAAGCATGTTGCGTCTCGTGATGCGGCGTCATCGCCGCGGCGGCATCCTCGTGAGGAGCATTTAGTTGGCGGAAAGCTGTCCGAAACTTGGAGCAGCTAATGTTGTTCTTGTGGTTATCATATTGGCATAGGTATTAGTGGGAGCAGGTCAGCAGATCTCCATTTGCAGAGAAACCATTTTGAGAATGATCCATGAACAATGGCGCGCATGGAACCTATTGTCGTTTTTTTCTGCTTCAATGATTTTTTTGGATACACTGCTCACACAACCTGCATCTCGATCTATGTGCTGTCTGGATCTGCATTTTGTGAGGTCTGTGATGACGATCGTTTTTCATCTTGTAGCTCTTGTGAGATCAGTTTTTCGACGTCATTTTTTTCTTCTCTATTATACCAAGGAAGGACTAGAAGTCCTTCTGGTGTTATTACCTCCGCTTGTGTAGTGTTGGTCTTGGTTTTCGCTACACTAGTATCTATCTTCTAGTCTAGCTGTAGCCCAGAGGTAGTGCCAGGTGACCACCACCACGCTGTCCTCGTCATAAAATTGGCCGCTTTACATATGATTCTACACGACGTTGCTTTCTTATTGGCCGTGAAGCATGGCCCTAGTGACGGACGGCACCGGCATCTGGGTAAAACTAAAACATCATCAACCACTCGATATTATGAGTAAAACCAGAGGAGAACTTAAAATTGCAGTGGGTTGAAATTTTTGTAACTGCCTTGTGCTTGTTCTCTCACTCTCAGCCAAGTTCAACAAGGCAGCACCATGATCTCCTCACCGGGTCCACATGGAGGACTACTACAACCTGTTGGTGTCCTGGTGCGGCAGAGCAGTGCGTCATCTTCAAGTGCTTATCCTGTGCAAAAGTATCGTACTCGTAGTAATCGCAATTATGCATTACAAATCTACTTGTTAAGGTAAATCCGCATTACAAATTTAATATTGTAATGCTGCGCCAATTTGTATTGCGATTTATACTAGTACGATGCTTTTGCAATGCATAGTGCTTCGTCTAGTACAACGTCCGGCAGATGTTGGCCGTGCAGAGGACGCGATGTCGGCGCGACCTGTCGTCGAGTGAAGGTGTCGTCGACATCAAGTGTGTCTCATCATCTACACGTGCGAAAAAGATCCTCTACGCCGGTCCCGCACGACGACCAAGGACACGCAATAAACAGAAGAGCTGCAGCCTTGTTCCGATGTTTCCCCAGCAGATCTTCTGCTTCGCAAGTCCCACGTCTTCTAGTCGTGGTGGACGAGGACATATTTCTTTCAGATGGGCACCTCCGACAAGGATTGTTTCTTCACAACCTGATGAAAATAAATCCTGTGCTCGGGAGGTGTACCACAAATATCAATTTTTCATCGCAGAAGCGTTTTTTCTCGAAGAAAAACCGGAAAGAGGACAAGCGATGGCTTTCTCGGGTGGACAACCCGGTGAAGTATGCCGAGGAGCATATCAAATGCAAAAATGTCTGGATCTGGAAGGATGCAACTTGTGATGCTGAATTTGAATTCGACAAAAATCTGTATTGCGAGGACAGCAAAAGAGGTCCAGTTTTTGCCACGGCAAGAGGGCATTTCTCATGCGGTATAGGCATCAGGAAGAGGAAGCCCTCACAAAATCTGTGATGCTAGAGCCTGCGTCACAGACTTCAGGAGTAATGCAAAGTGTGCATGACAGACCTTGCATCCGTCCAGACCCAGACAGTTTTGCATTTGATAGAGCAGTACGGCGAGCAAAGCCGCTTACAAGACAAGATCGAGGGCCACATGTTCGTGCCCGAGACGCTGTCCGTGCAGCAGCTCGTGCTCCACTGCAGCAAGCTGATGCAGGCCCGGGATAAGCACACCCCGCAGTTGCTGGACCAGTACGCGAGCCGGTGCTTCGCTCTGTCCAGCATCTTTCAAGCCAAGGACTTGTCTCTCTTGCTAAACTGTTTCGCCAAGGCAAGGTATTCGCCCTGGATCCGGGTCTTGAAGCCGGAATTCCGGAGAACGCAAAAAGAAATCCAACGACAGAAGCTGCCCGGAACGAACTCGCCCTTGTTGGCAAGGTACGCGGGAGAAGGGTCCGGGGGGTTCAATCCGCTGCAGGGGAATAGAGACGGCATGCTGGAACAAGCAGGGAACAAAATAACTACCGACGGCAGCAAGGATAAGGATCAACATCAAGGTCTTCTGCGGGAAGATGAAAATGAAAATGAAGACGGCTACGGGGCGAGCCTGCCAAGTGACTATCTGGAGGGCAGACCGTGTTCGCTCGAGCAGAAAAAAAGTGCACACAGCAACACCGGACGAGTTCTTGGCGTCGAAGCAGCTGCTTGTTCCGCCACATCGTCCTCTGCCCTAGAACCACCTCTTCCAGACTCCTCGTTAACAACACCCCAACATGACGTCGGTGAAATCGAAAACTCGCAGCACGCGCGAACCAGAACGAACCTGCAATCCCTGAATAATTCCACGATCGACTTTGACAAGGACACTCTCCCGCACCCGCTCCTGCTTGCCATCGCCCCGCGGGTGAAACGCGTGTTGCGCAAAGCCGTGGCGCAGGACTTGGCCCTGTTTTGCAACGCATACGCCAAATTGCAAATCCGCTGCCTGTACGTAGTGCAGAAGTGATATCGCACTACTAGGTAGTGAAAAAGAAAACTCGAACTGCATGATTTACAAACTTGCGCAGCAGCATATAATGATAAATGTAAATCAAATTTGTCTTGCCGATTTACATTTAGTGTGGAAAGGCAAAGGAGCTTTTCTGTCATAATGCTTAACGACCGCAAGTAGTACGAGTGCGACACTTTTGCATAGGATAGCCTGCCGGTCTTTAAGTGGTTGTCAGCGGAGATCCCGCACAAACTGACGTTTTTTGATATGGCGTCCTCAAATGTTACACTCAGTCACTGCTGTTACATGAAGTTGGAAAAATGCAAGAACTGATTCCTGTGGTATAAAATGAAAGCGGGGCGCCGGCGCTTGCGCGTCATGCTCCACAGATGATTTGGCAAGGATTTCAATGCTTGCTGGCGCATGAGAAACTTTTCATGCGAAGTGGAAGCAAGTTGTAGCTGGATCGATCGTGTGAAGAGTCGCCTTAGTTGTAATTTTGCATGACAAATTCAAATCACGTGTCTTATCAGCGACTAAGTGATGTAGCGTTCTTTGAAAGTGCCATATTTGAACCGCAACACCTCGCCATGGTTGCGTCGGCCTTCGCGAACTTGCAGATCCCCGATAGACTGTTGATGGGCGAGATTCGGACGGAGATCCTGCAACGCCGGCCCGAAGATTTCGAGATGTCGCAGATCGTCATTCTGGCGAGTGCGTATGCGAAGGTGAAAGGGAATTTCTACGCGCAGAAAGAAATCATGCTGATGCGGACGAGAAATAGTTTGTTAAGGTTGAACAAACTAGGTAGTGTTGGACGGCATAATTCCCAGGGACTGGGACACGGACAGCAGCAACAACTTCTGCAAGATTCAGGAAGCTGCACGGCTGCCAGCGGTTCTGATTTACTGCGAACGACGAGGTTGGAACTATTAAATGAGGACCCGGCTACGAAGGACTACGGTGCTGAGGACGAGATAATTGCGCAGGGAAATCATGATGTAGTTGACCCTAAAAATGCGAATGATTTTCCTTCTGCAAATCCGAAAAGTAGTAGTTATACCAGTGCAGGAGATCTGACAGACTCTTCCTCCGAGGAACAGGATCTCTTCCGTTTCGCCGCCGAGTTTGTGATCGAGAACCCGACGGATTTGACGTTTGCACACTGTTATCAAACGCAAATACTTATCTCTGGGCGCCGGGAAGGCTGTGTAACTGAAATCTGCCATGCAGGTTCCGCATGGCCCAGAAGATCTTGAATAAGAAGCCACCCTCCGAAAGTGAGTGAGTTTTATTCCTGCTCACGCAATACATTTTTTTGTATAAGAATAGAACCCAGACCCAGCAGAGCAAACTCAAACTGGAACTCTTCCACTACAGACGTCCAGGGATAATGTTTGCAATGCATAACTGCATTGGCGGCTTGAACGCATTTTCAAAGACGAGTCTGTGGCCCGCGGTGCTGCCGGTACTAGTAGATGAGTTGACTGCTCTGTCGAGACCGCGGAGGTGGACAGATCTGCACCATGATGACCCTTGCACGACCAGCATGTCAAGAACTTCTGCTCGTTCCAAATGGACACTTTTCGACGTGGGCACGGTTTGCGCCGCATTCCGGAGGATTTTCGCGCAGTTTCCGAGAATAGAGCAGTTGCACAAGAACGGAGACGAGAGTGGAAAATTCATGCCGGCGACCTCCACACGTGGGGCGGGAAAAGAACCAGAGCCCGATCTCTACACAGGTGAATTGATGTCCACAGGAAGTAGTTCAAGCGGAAAAAATGTTCACCAAATTGCAGCTGAAGAGGGTACTAGCAGGGCTTTTTCTTATTCAGAGGATGACGATTTTGACGACGTTAGCTATATGGAGGACGAGCTGCAGGAAGGATATAAAAATTCTGCACACGACGTCGACCACAATCGACGCACGTCGAAGCCCGGCGAACAAAACGACCGAGCCACGGTGCTATCTCCTGAGGAGCTGATCTATTACAACCTCGCCATCGATGGGTGGACGCGCGTGTGGGACTTATTTCACAAGCACTCCCTGGTTTTGCACGACCCGTTAGTGTATCAACAAGGCAGTGATCATCTAGAAGTTGTACTGGAGACAACTACTACGAGTGAACACGGCCGCGGCTGTGCACCTTTAGCTACATCTAGCGGCACACAATCATCGAAAGAACCCAACACCCGAAGAACACAAGAACAACCGCGCTTATTAACACAAGCCAAACTTTCGGAGCAGCTTGACAGCTTCCTGCCGTGCACATTTCTCGCTCTGGCGCAGCTGTGCGCCGACGTGCGGGTGCCTGTTGTGACGTCGTCTTTCAGTTGTATTGCAGGCCCGGCGACGAGCAGCTGCGTCCCTCCAACTTCAGCCTCGGCACATTTCGAATTGACGAAGTGGCTTTTCGATTTGGTGGACGCAAAAGCGGACCGCGTATCCTCGAGCGCAGCTGGTGGTGCTTCTAGTAGTTGTACTCCTTCGGGCACCAGAGCTGCAAGAACCGGAGCTAGTAGTACTTCTTCATTTTGGAACTCTTTCGACACGCCCTTTGTCCTGTCCTCTTCCTTATCAAATGCAAATATGTCTGAGTCTGGAAACTTGTAATGCTGGAAGTGAATGAGGGTTCCACTGCAATACGGAGCCAAGCATGACAAATTTTTCGGCGCCTATGTGTTGCGTTTTCCGCATGGCAAACTGCGTTTTTGCATGACAGGTAAGAGGACCGCTTCGCGCCTATGCAGCACAAATTCTTGAGTCATGTCAGACATGCATGACAAATGTAGCGATCTCGCAGACCCAGACACTTTTGCAATCCATAATCCTTAACTGCGTTGGCGAAGCTTCACGGTCGAGTTGCACATGCTGATCTGGGTGAGGTAGAGCTGCGAGAGGAACACGAAGTAGAACTCCAAAAATTCACACCACGGTCACCTCCTGGCGAGCAGGAACAACAAATTGAACTGCAGAGAAGGAGCTCGAGCTGCATGAGGAAAGAAGGCCTGCAGCTCCGCATTCGGAAAGTGGGGATGCTTTTGGGAAAGCGGGCAGCCACGATGTTGACCAAGCAAAAACTCGAAATCAGCAGTCAACAAGCAGGTGTTCCGGCTACAACTAGCGAAGACGAGCAAGAGATGAGGAAAACTTCGACAATCTCCACTGCAAGAACGCCCGCTTTCCAGGCTATCGGCAGTGCGGAGGTGCTATGCACTGCAAAAGTATCGTATTTGTATAAATGCATTACAAATTTTCTCTTCATGAGAAATAAAATTTGTAATGCGGATTTGACTTAACAAAAAGATTTGTAATGCATGACTGCAATACGAGTACGATAGTTTTGCACAGGATAGGTGCTGGAGTTTGACACACAGAATCCCCACATTGGGGTTCTGAAACACGAACCGGTGCATTATCATTTGTAAAAACGTCCCTACCCCAGAGTTGTGATGCAGATTTGCAATGGCAGGAGCATTTGTATTGCGCATCTCCATGAGAGGCGTTTGTAGTCATGTTTTGCGATTTGTAATGCTGTCACCAGGATAAGCAGATGGATTTGAGATGCGTTTGTCGTTGCTAACCTGCACTACACTACGGACTGCAACTTGTGATGCGTGAGTCCCAAAGCTTCTAGGTTTGTGTTGCAAAATCCCCAGGTTGACTCTGGGGAGGTGGGGACGTTTTTACTCAGGATATGCAGAACGAGAAAAGTTTTTCGCTACCGGATTTGTGCAACATCCTGCACGCGCTCGGGAAATTGAAGATCAAATCCAAGATATCCCACGAAAAAACTGTTTCACTGTGATGATTTTGCAAGATTTGCATCACAAGTTTGTTACACATGACAAAGAAAACTTGGCATGCGTGCTTCCTAAGGGAAAACACAGCGAAAAATCCAATGTCTTGCATGTGTAGCAAGACAAACACATTTGCGTTTGGTTCTATGCATCACAAGTTTACAGTGAAACAGTTTTTTCTTGCGATACAAGATCTTGCTCTACCTCTGCTGCCACAAAATGCTGTATCCTGTGCAAAACTATCGTACTCGTATTGCAATCATGCATTTACAAATTTTTTTCCGAAGCTAAATCCACATTCCTCATGCTGAGGAAATTTGTAATGCATTTATACGAGTGCGATACTTTTGCAATGCATATGCTGCAGCCGAAGACAAACCGACTTGTGAAGCAGCTGGACGGCAGAAGCGTATTGAAGTTGGTGATCGGACTGGCAAAATTGTACCCGAAAAATGACGCAAAGGATTTTACATCACCTTTGGACGCTGTAGAAGTAGTTGCGAGAAGTTGTAGACGGCACGGGACGAGGACCCCAACTACAACAACTTCGAATTATGACAGCAGTGGTTCATCATCCTCCCCTACCGCCTCCTCGGAGGAAGACGAAATGATCCGGCGGTTGCTACTGCTCGTCGTGAAACCGGTGTTGCAAAGCACGCCCTTGCACCTCGAGACGGAACAAGTCGCGCTGAACAAGGCTCTTTTTACGTTGGGGCACTTCGACGAAATGTTTGGACTTTTCGAGGAGATGAATTCTAGCAATTCCTATCGCCCTCGCGACTACAATAGGGTGGCACAGGAACACCAGAGGCCGCGAGAGGTGCAGACCGGTAGTAGCGAGCAGAATGGTGCGCTGCGGTATGGCCAGCACGTGGTCACGTCACATGCGTAGGGGGACATAAAATTGTGCTGTTGAGCGTAGGAGGGGAAGCGCTTGCTTCGGTCCAAATAAAAAAGCTTATCTTTTTCACGTGCAGCTGTTTCTTCTTTCGCGAGGCATACAGAGTAAATATCACGGTCCTCTTAGATGAAATCAAATGTCGCCCCGTGTGATTGACGTTGTTTCATCCGTTGATGGTGTGATCCCCCGTGTTGTTGCGCCGGGTCACTTGTACTTGACGGCGCTTCGCCGGACTGATTTCTGCAAGTACCTGCTACAAGTTGACGCCGTCGCATTGCTTTCAGAACCAGAAGATCTTAGTGCAGGATGAAAACTGCTGATGTAAAAGAATAGCTTGAAGGTAGATCATCATTACAGCTGCGTTGAAAGATCAATAATAGTCGTACTACAGCAATCGTCGTCAATAAGGCGAATAGGAATACAATCGACGACGAGGAGGACGATACAATTGCCATGAGGTTGATCTGACGCAAAAACGTTCTCGACCGCCAGCACCCGAACATGGGGGCATCTTTTTTTTTGAAATTCCTGCTTTCTTCATGATCCAAGCATCCAAGCATGTAAGTACTTACTCGTTCCCCTAGCTGTAGGTAGTTTGTTGCATTGACTTTTACACCAAGTTGACTGCTCACGCAGACGAATGTGAACAGGCGCAACCGCGGGCCAATCCAGAGTAACGCAGCCCCAGATTACCTAGATTGATAGCACGACCGCATTGCAGCCCTAGTGCCGCTTTCGTCTCTTAGCAGTGACTGGTTCGAAGATCAAGACCAACATAATGGTTCTGGTACAACTACCCACGTCCCTACGCGCAGGGCTTTCAAGGTCCTCCTCCGCAGCTCCATCATGGCCACTCTTCTCGACTATTTTTGGAGCTCCGACCACTCCGAGGGCAAGTTGGAGGGCACCGAGTTCTCCAGGGGTTGACGCGCCACCAGTGGCACTACGGCGCAATCGTGATGCGTTTTATTTTCGACCTGCTGCGATAACTAAAACTATTACTAGGGGAATATTTTTTGCAACAGGACGAGGGGACAAGAAGAACTCCTCTACATCTTGCGGTTCTACCACCACCGCGAAAGGAAGACGTGTGTCGCTAATGTTACCCCCGCAATTGAATGAGAGTGATCTTCTTCTTCCAAGTATTGCATTCGGACCCGCGCAAGCAAACGCAAAGTTCTGCAACATCACGCCCTTCCAAGAACTTTCGAAAATGCAGATTTCATCTCGCAGGTTGTTCAGTTCATCGCCGCTGTCAGGGACACCGATACGTACTGGCGCCGCTTCTGGACCTACAGCAACCTCACCCCCGCAATCTTCTGCGCCATCGGGAACAGCACGAGAACATGAACAAGCGACAATAGACGATAGTATTACTAAAATGCAGAAGAACATCCAGTATCCAGTGCAAATATGTCTGGGTCTTGAAGAAGAGTAGGACTTGTAATGGCTGTCTTGCAACATTCCTGGAAGGCGAAAGCCTGTGTTGCGTGAGCAGCAAAAGAGCAGCTTCCTTTGTCATACAAAACCGAACTTTGTCATGCGGGCTAGTCATGATCAAAAAGCGTTCCAAAAACTTGTCATGGTCAGCTGCCAAAAATGCAATGCGCAGCAATCTATCATGCGCATTCAGCATCACGGGTTTCCAGACCCAGACATATTTGCACCGCACATACAGAACGACGCAGCAAGTCCGAGTACTAGCACAACCACTTCCACCAGCTCCATCCCCGTCGAAGTCCTGCAGACCCAAGTGACCGACCTGCAGACCCTATGCACTGCAAAAGTATCGTACTCGTATAAATGCATTACAAATTTCCTCAGCATGAGAAATAAAATTTGTAATGCTGATTTACCTTGACAAGCAGATTTGTAATGCATGATTGCAATACGAGTACGATACTTTTGCACAGGATAGACCCGGGTCGAGAAGCTGGAGAAAACAGCTAAGTCTGCCATATGGCGTTCGCAAACGCTATATTCTCAACTGTTACATGAATTTGTAATGCAAGAATGCCAAAAGTGCAAGGGTGAAGATTGCGCCTTTTGCATTACAGGTTTGGCACAGATTTAGATGCTGTTTAAGTAGCCCTTTGGAAATTTGTCATGCGAAGCAGCTTGATGATAGTGATACTGATGAGAGTTTTACATGACAAATTCACGCACCACTTGAGAGTGTAACGTTTGAGAACCCCAAATCCCAAGTCCGCAGGTTTTCTCGCGAGGTTCATGAGCTTTTTCCAGGAGTACGGTACGCCTTTCATCATCTACTTATCAAGTGCAAAAATGTCTGGGTCTGGAAGGGTTGAAACTTGTGATGCAAACTCTGGAACGCACAAAAATTTGTGTTGCATGAGCGCCAAAAGCTGCTGTCCATTTCTTGGCACGTAAGTAGGAAGTTTCTCATGCGGGACAGGCATCATGACGCTTGCTCAAATCCTGTGATGCTTTTGCCTGCATCAGACGCCATTTGCGTGATCCGAAACATGCATGACAAATCTCGCAATCTTCCAGACCCAGACATTTTTACATTTGATACTACTACGGGGTCGCGTATTGCGGAATGTTCGTAGGGTTTCTCGCGCTGTTTCAACTAGAAACTATGCCAGTGCACAACTGCTTCTGTCTCTCCTCATTTGTTATGCTGAAAGAACGCAATTCCATACGATGTCGATGCGTTGCCTGGTGTCGGGACTGACTGGCATGACAAGTTTCAGCTTCATCTCGAACAACACTTCTTCTAGGATCCGCAGGTAGATTTGTTATGCAGAGCATGCATCTCATTCTCATTCTCATCTCCATCTGCCACCCTTTCTTGCTAGTTCGCCATAAAATTTCAAATGGGTAGGAGTGGAGGTCATGATTGTGCAATCTGACAGAAATCCTCCCGGATCCGTTGGATTTGCTGGACCAGTTTGGGTTCGAGCTGCCGGAGTCGCTATCCAAGTTGAAAATGACCTGTTTTAGTGTGTTAAGTCTGTGTATGTACAAACACTACAGTAGCGATGACGTATGCGTGTCCACATGTTAGCTGCGCATGAGGATGAGTAGCTTTCTTTGTCGTGCAGAGTAAATTTTTGATGCTAGCACTGTCCAACTCCAAGAGTGCTATGCCAACATGCACACAATTTTTTTCCTGGATAGTCGCTGCTCAGCAGGGTCGAACGGGGTGGCGTCGGAGGCGGTGAAGATGATAACAACGGGCCTGATGGAAGAAACGATGCATCGGTGGGAACACCCATATGGGATTGTTCTCAACTGTTACATTCTCAACTGCTATATGATTTGTCATGCAAAATGAGCATCAACATCCACACAGGGAAGCTACTTCGCATGACAAATTTTGGAAAGGCGAAACAGCGCCTAATTTGTGCGGAATTTGTCATGCTAAAGGTGCAACCTCCCTGCTTTGACTTTTGCCAACATTCTTGCATTACAAATTCATGTAACAGTTGAGAATGTAACACTTGAAAACCTCATAACCCAGTCCAAGCAAGCGCCCACTCTCCGAACGTGTCGACCCCTTCTGGCTGCGAGTTTTGGTCTCGTTCGTACTAAACGAGGCGCTCGAGGTACCCAGATTCTTGCTGGTCGCAGCCACGTTCAAACCGCTGCTGGCACTGTTCCAGAAGCTGAAACGGTAGCTGAACATGTACAGAAAAGACGCGACGAAAGATTGGTCTTGACAAGCCCTTGGAAATGAGTGCTGAAGACAGGGAGGGTGGTCTCTTGAACAGGTCGCGCTGTCGTGATCTTACTTGGTAAGCATAAAGTAAATGCGCAAAAAAACTTTCGCTCAGTGCCTGAGGACTACAAAAAGCCTCGCTTTTGTAGACTACTACACGAACACAGATCCAGATGAAACACCGGCTGACCAGCGCCACGTGGTGACTCACTGCTTGATCTATGGTGTGTGCTGCTGTGATGTTTCTTTATATAAACGTTGCTGAAGAACTGTTGAGTCGTGAATTTCTCGCATCTCGTGTAGTATCTTCATCCGTCCTTGCCCCGGTTTTTTCATTTTCCAGGGTCGTTGCGTCATCTCAAGAGCTTTCCAACACTTCTCGGGGACAGTACACCGGTTCTGTTTTGCACGAATCGCCACGATGTCCCATTCTCGCACTTGCTATATTTACGATGGATAAGTCGTAAGCGTAACACAACGAATTCTGTTGAGTGCGGATCGTGAGAGCAGGGAGACGGAGAGCATAAGGAGAAAAATCGAATGCACTTCCCTGCAGAAGATAAAAGAACAGCACCCGAGGTCAATAACAGTCAACATATTCGTACCTGTTTCGACCTCGATCGCCGCTATCGAGTAAGTAGCACCTGATACTGTACTTCCAGGACCTCTAGTGCCGAGTTCAGGAGGCTGGGCTCTGCGCTTCATACTGAAGCTTACTTAACGAAATTGTTTCGAGCACACTTTATTTCTCAAAACCAAACAAGATGGCCTCGCCCTACCTCAACCTCAAGCCGACCGTGAGACTCGGACGCGGCATTGTCGTTGTTCCCGTACTTCTCGCGGTTCTCTGGGCTTTTCTCGCGTTCGCCGAAAGTCAGAACCTCCGGGGCGACAATGCGCCCCCCCCCCGCGAAAGTGTCGTTGGCACTGTCAGCGGGGGGAACAGCGACAGCACCGAATGCCCTCACGAAAGAGGATCGGGATGCCTTTCGCGAGATTTATGAGAAGAAAATGAGTAAGCAACAGTATTTTATTCATTGAATAGAGTCAACATATTTTATTGATGTTCAATTATCAATGTGTGTTCAATGTTTTTTTGCGATTGCTGCTTAGTTCCTTTGTTATGTTGATGCGTGACCATTTCTATCTCATTAATCAATGAATACTTTTCTGTGTCGTGGTCGTGCTGGTGCTGTTTGTGTGGTCCTCCTTTTCGCTGTTTTGAACAAAAGTGGGTTCAATTTGGCAAGAGCGACATTGAAAAATGTATGCGTGACATTTGTCAGGTTTGATCGAGAGAAGCGGGCTCGGCCTCCCGACAATCGGCTTCATGCTGCATGTCATGGACCTGACCGGCGGAAATCTGGACTTTGCCGTGCAGGTGTACAACTCGGGGGAGATCAACGCGTTTCTCGCCCTGGATGTCAACAAGGACCGCAAACTCGACGGCCGCGAGTGCCCCTGCTTTTTTGCGCGGATGAATCCAAGCGCCGCCACGACGGAGGAGGATCCCGCCACCGGCCTGGACTTCATCGCGTTCCGGAACGCCTGCTCGGTGCCGGCAGGGGAGGACTCCGCGTTTCTCGAGAGGAGTCAATGGGACTGGCGCGAGCAATCGGCGTGGGAAAGAGCCTGGCATCGTTTTGAGAAAGGCGGCCCACTAGCGGTTTGTTTTAGCTGCTGGCCTACCTTCCAGGACACGGGCAAACCTTGGCTCCGCGGCGAGTCTAGTGGCCCGGAGAACTCCGCAGCTAGGGAGTCGGACGAGGAAATAGTACGTGATAAATATACCAAAACTTATTTCAACTTTTTCAGTCAGTGCGGCTGCGGGTGCGGTACAGAGCTCCATTTCGTACTCTGCAGGCCGTGTGCTCTAGCGATATGAATGTCATGTCGCCGTTGATACTACAAAATGGATACCTCGATCTTGTCAGGTAATTGATACCAGGTCGAGCTCTATTTCGTCGACGTCGAGCTCGGCCTCGTCGAGTTCGGGCTCCTCGTTCTCGGGCGACGCGTAAAAATCCGCTTCATGAATTTCTGATCGACACACGACCTTTTAGAAAGTCACCTCCTGACGCAAACGCGACCGTGTGCGGACGAGACCTGATTTTGATCGGAAGCTGCACTATGCATTGCAACTATGTCTCCGCCTGGATCTCGTCTCTGTGATGCTATTTTCTACAATAAACAGAGTCTGCATATATTGCACGAAGCGGTTTGGGGAGCTTTTTCGTCGTGCTGGAGGTCGGTTTGGCATGCGATTTCCAAACGACTCGGCAACAAGCTTGCAAAAACTTGCCATGCATTTATTATCTGCAGCAGACCGGTTTCTCATGCAAGAATTAGCCATACACACGCGCACAGGTCCGCTACTTCTACTTTCCAGACGCAGACAAAGACATATTTGCAGCGCATATGGGCGTAAGTCGCATTCTTGCGTTTGCGAAGCAGCAGCCGTAGTACCATCTTCCGCTTCTGCGGCACCCGCATGAAGATGTGCAATCAGAAGAGGCAATCTAAAAACTTCACTTTTATACAACTTTCAGAAACTTTATACAGCTTTCCAATCTCACCTTTTATTTTATTTGCACACTTATTATTACTTTTTCAGATTCAGTGTATGTAGATTCGGCTCAAGAACTGTTTTAATTTCCGCAAATTAGGGCGTACAAGCAGAAGCAAGCCAAAGTCGCTTAGCCGCGTCCTCTTTTTGTTTAAGCACTTAATAAGCACTAATTAATAATTTGTATTGTTACACTGAGCAACTTCTTGTTTCTTTTGTCAAAAGTTGTACGAGGGCGCACCAAGGAGCACGCACGTACAGCAAAACGGCAAGGAGACTAGACTTCTGCATCCGACAAGAAACCCTCTTCATTCGAACTCCCGTACTATTGTATTTGAAAGAGCGTATTTATTGTTACGCTTACAGTTGCGCCTGAAGTAGCTTATTGTATTCGGAAGAGGTTCGTAACGGGGAGAGCGAGGTAGACGAGCAGGATAGAGAATCGCATCTATATCTGTTTGCTTATCGTGCCTTACAGAATACCTTGCTAAGTTTACGCTTTTGCTTTTACATCTGTCACGAAATAAAAATGAAATTGTGACGCGCTGAACTACGAGTTTGCGCAATATTTGATGCAAGCGTTTCTGATCTCTTCGGTCGCCAGTCGACGCAAGGAAAAGAACGGTCGTGCACTCGACACAAACTAAAATCCGAACGCCTGTGGGCGATCAAGAAAATTTCCAAAATTTTTGAAATAAATGTCATGTACTCACCGCAAATAACTACAACGAACCAAATACGACGTGAGCACGCCTCAATAAAGCAGAGCCAGTGTCACATCGACTGTGGTCGTGTGCTCGCAGTGTAAAAGCTATACGAACGCTCCGACTTTTCTGGGTACAATATGTTGAAAGAGTGATCGCGTGGCGCAGTGTGTATCGCCGACATTTATTGCCAAAACAGAAAAGCGAGCAGCCACTTTTCTCGCCCCGTGTCATGTTTTCGGGTGTTGAGCTGTGATGGTGATCTCATCAGCTCATGATCCCATTTTTGAGCTACAATATCATTGCTGTGTCACAATCACCTCGATCTCAAGTGATTGGCGGCCTATTTGCCGAAATAACGAAAACTCTAGCGAGGTTAGTTGTCCCGTTTTAGCTGGTCCATCAAGTAAACTTTTCACATCTTTTCTTTAAATTATTTTTCGCTTTTTCCAGTAAAACTTTCTCTACCGCCGCTTTCGAGCGAGCATTCATGAACACTCTTTCGAGTTATATGTGAGTGGGTGCTCCCGTTCGGACAGGCGCTACCCCTACTATTGCTTAGTGGTGAGGTTAGGTATCATCTAGTAACTTCTAGCCCTGTTGCCGCCAATCCAGAGCCATAGGAAGATAGTAGCCTGCCGCCTCCCCCGTTGAAAAAAAAAACATTCTAATTTATCCAGCGGGCTAAGCATTCACCGCAACCGAGCAACAGCACGTGGAGCTCCCTATGAGCCTAGTGGAAAAGTCTTATGAGCCCATAACAGTAGAAAACTGATAACTTAGGTTTGTATAGAACGGGTGCTCCCGTTCGGACAGGCATTACCCCTGCTATCGCTTAGTGGGGAGGTTAGGCTCCATCTAGTAGCTTCTAGCACTGTTGCCGCCGATCCAGAGCCATAGAATGATAGTGACCTGCCACTCACCCTCTGGAAGCTGGAAAACACTACTTGAGCTCGAGCTTGATCATTGCTGTGTCCCAATCACCTCGATCTCAGGCGTTTTTCTGCCAAAGGAGGTTCTTCTAGTTGCAGATCCCGTCGCCGCTCGGTTCTTTTCAAAGTGGCTCGGATCCATCGAAGCTTGCGAAAATCTTCGTTCCTGCAACGAACAAGATCTTCAGACATTTTTGGTTTCTTCGTTTTTTTTCTCTCGTCGTTTTTTTCGTTTTCTGGGTCATGACCTACATGATTGCAACAAACTATTGTGCTTCAGGAGTCGCTCGAATACCAATGCGAGGTCTGGTGTAAAACCAAGTATAGCTTAAGCTTTTGAAAATTTACATCAAAGTCGAGCGCCTCGTGAGTAGAGCCTTCATCTCATGTCCCCTGACATGAACAAATATCTGTGAAGACGCGACCCCCCGGGATAATCGGCTAACCACCAATACAAACGTCATGTCCACCAGCACAAACCGCCACCCAGCCCAGTTTCTGGTTTTGGACGGTCTCAACTTGCTGGAGATTCTTCGCGTCTGTTGCACCTTTCTGTGCATTGGTTTCGTCACAACCACGTTTTTGCAATACTGCGGCGAAATCGTGAAATATCATCGAGCAAGGAACCCCGGCGTGGTGGCGAATTTCGTGGCAGAAGATGTACTTACTCTAAAACTGCAAATAAGCGGCAATGCCCTGAAGTCCTGCGAAATCCATGCCCCGCGAACTTGCCCCTCTGTTGGCCTGGGACAGAGCGGAAAGTAGTTATATATTACAAAGGGTCGCCTTAGCATTGTGAGTGCATTTTGGGAGCAGGAGGGCCTCGGTATTTGGAGAAGTGAGGAGATGTCCTCTCCTTCGTAAGTTGATCGCCTTGCACTGGCGCCATAGCCAAAAACAGGCAGCTGCAAAGTCGAAACCGTTCGCAGAAGAGCTGCGAAAGAGGCAAGGAAGGCCATCAGCAAGTAGAAAAGGGCATGGGCCACCCCAGTAGCCCTGCCAAGGAAGAGGCTGCACCCGTCGCAACGTCGCTCCGCCAACGAGGTTCCGGACCGGGCTACCTAGTGGCCGTCGCGTCGCCCTAGCTTTATTTCGTCCGTGTTAGGTTTACATCGACCTCCTGAAAGCAGAGGCTGCTTTTATTGTCCCGAAATTTTCGCAACCACAGAGTCAACCTTTTGGAAGCATAGGTTGATTTTATGGTTGCGAAGTTTCCGGAGGCATAGCCATAGAATCGATTTCCTGGAAGCAGATGGTGATTTTATGGCCACGACGTTTTATTTTCTTCAGCCATTGGCTGGAGAAGACGCGACCCAAAATGCGCCTGCTTTGCCCCTTTTAGGTCAGGCCCTATGCCAGATTAAGGAACCCCGGCGTCGTGGCGAATTTCGCGGCGGAAGACGTATCTATGTGATTCTCATTTGGCCATAAAGATGAACATCATGGCAGGGAAGATCCTGCTTAAAACTGCCTGCACAAATAAAATAAATCCGAACACAATGAAAGAACGTGACTCATTGCCATTTTTTTCCACGTGATCAGACCTCCTTCAGTGTATTGTAAGACAGGCTGAAGAAAGACAATGACAAACACAGCCTCATATAACCAGCAAAAAGAACTTTAACTTACTTCGCACGACAATCTATACCTACAGCTCATCGCCGTTCCCTTTTTTGTCGGCATTGGAGCGGTACCAATATGGGGACTCGTGTTGGACTACCTCGAGTCAAAGCGCACACTGACCACCGCGACCATGCTTGCGCTCGTAGGATGCTTCGCCCTCGGGCAAAACCCTGGGTACTTCAGCGCGTTTCTGCTCTTCCTTGGCGTCAACGGCATGCGGCTTAGCATCGCCGCGCTAGTGCAGCAGACGTGCATATGCGGTGCGAATAGGTCTGGACCCTCTGGAGGAATGCAAGGTCTCATGCTGTCGACTTGGCATCAGTATCACAGTAAAGCGGCTATCCTGCTGGTGCACATGAGCACCAGGAGCAAAAGTGCGTAAGTACTCTTCACCACGCGAAAATGACATTCCCCAAGCCTAGTAGGCATAGAGCGCGAGAGCAGATCTATTTCTCAAAACTTGTCGTGTCGCGCGTATCGCAGACCATCTTTTGTGTGATGCGAAAGCTGCATCACTTCAAACAACCACAGTCTTCCAGAAGATCCGGACGTATTTGCGTTTGATAGTGGAAGAGCAGCTACGGGCAGGACAGATACGGTATTGGAAGCAAGGTGAATAGTGCTACTGCTACCATGCCCATGTCCATTGAGGACCATTGAGGAGCTGTCTTGCATATTTGATTTGAATGAAGCATCAGTATTTTATGTGATGAGTAGATGCTCGCCAGCACTCCAACTCATTTGTCCTCCAAGCGTCGATCGCACTACATCACAGGCAAAGCGTTCTGTTTGGCCGCCGCGTTGGAGCTCGTAGGCGTTTTTTTCGGGCTACAAGTAACCAATCTTTCCTGGGCTGCGCACTACTATCGAATGAAAAAAGTTCGTCACGATCACTCATGCTCATTTTTGCGAAAGCGAATACAAACCTGTCATGCTTATAAAATGCATTGCCGTCAAATAAATTTCGATTTCCTCCGTGATTTGGATTTCAGCCCTTCTCTTGTGTTAATGCAATACAAGAAAAAACTGTGACGCCAGTGCCAGAGACATTTGTCATGCCAGACCTGCAAAAAAAAGTTGACTGTGGGGAATTTTCTCCTGTCCATAACTACGTCGCCGGCAGCAGTAAATGCGTGGGAATGTGTGTGGATTTCAAATTTGCGTTCCACCTCTGCCTTCCTGTAATTACGGTTTTGTGTGTTAGCCTGGCGCTTCTAACACGGATCCCGCAGGTGACTGTACTCGCAAATAGTAGCGCCCCGAGGTCACCTTCGGCCTCGCTGCAGGGGAGACAGGTATGTATTAAAGAAGTAACAAGTTTGCTTGTTGCGATCATGTTGATTCACGATTTTTTGAAGCAAGTACTGGTTTTCTGGTGCTGTCCGGATTTGTGTACCTACTCATCAAGGAAAAAGAGACATTTGGAAAGCTGCATTCACACGCGCACACCACATCCAACACCGAGGTCCTCCGCCCGCGGTCCATTTCCGGTGCCCGACTTTTCTACGTCGTGGCTGCCATGAGCTGGTGTGGCTGGGGTGCGTTGCTGTGGTTTGGTGCATTGTTCGTGACGAAGGAGCTCTATCGAGGAAAAAAACTGCGTTTAGTGTAAGTAAGTCTCTGAAGACTACAACAGCATGACGAATTCACTCTGCAGAAACAGAGCAAGCCTGTCATGCATGGTCAGTAGGTGAAAAGAAAAACGCGTATGAATAATAAAGGGCGGGACTTCAGGGCTGTCTGGCATGACAAGTGTATGACTACGTCGTGACTATATTTTTCTGCACATGTAGACGATGACGAGACTTGACTTCTTACAAGCACATGCACAGTTTTTATCTTGCATAGGCTCTACCTCGTGTTCAATGTGTTCCGGGACGATGTCCGGGTGCTGGGTATCCTGTGTGCTAAAAACGTCCCCACCCCCAGAGTTGTCATGCAAAGTCGATGGCATGCCTAAAATTTGTCTCATGCGCAATCCGCCCATGAGGGCCATTTTCTATTATTACTCTCTGGCAGATTTTCATGCTACAATCATGATAGATGAGATAAATCGATTTGCAACGTGGCTGCACTCCCTAAATACACTCAGTGACACTGACACTACTTACCATCCCCGACTCGTCATGCCAAAAGAACTTGTTGATTATGATTTGTGTAGCCAAACCCCCAACCATCTTGACTGTAGGGCGGGGGCGTTTTTACTCAGGATACTGGGGAATCCGATGCTCAGGTATCATGGGTCGTGTTGATGCAGTGGCATGCTTTTCGACGTAGAACGCGTTCTATACTCTTTTTAGTCACTCATGTCATCGGCAAGAGAAGCAATCCAAATGTTCTCCGGAAGTAGGAAACAATCAGCCACATTTACACTCGATTGTTGATTGTTCGAGTGGTTCTTCAGCGGATCGTTCTGTGTTATACGAATAAGTACGGATGCACCTCGGTGCATCATTTTCGAGTCGTTGGTGTAGCGTCTACTAGGCTAGTGGGCTTGGTCATTGGCATTCGGCCCTGCCCCGCGGAGTGTTGGCAGGGGCTGTTGGTTTTTAGGCGTATTTGTTTTCCTGCATCCTCAGGGCTACGGAATCTCCCAGAACGGAGGCTGAGGGGCTAGGGGCCCCCTTTAGACTGCCCGGGGAGGGTCTCTCTTGTTGTCTCTGCCCCGGGGCAGTGAAAGGCTCTTGCTTCCAGGTTGGGTATATGACTTTGCAGCGTTGATTAATATGCCGCCGCTGGCGGCCGTGGCAGCGGGCCTACTCCTTGCAGGCCAGGTCCAGGTAGGCGGGGCCCTTAGTTGTTCGCAAGAAGTTGCAATGGGTTAGCTCTCCTCTCCTGCTGGTTTTTCACGGTCTCTCATTTGTCCGGGCTGGTTCAGCGCGTCCCTTTCCATGTGGCAGGGCCCTTGCAGTTACACCTCGGAGTGCAAGGGACTCGGGTAGATGGCTTTGAATTCACTGGGGGAAACGGCTGTGCCCTACGCCTTGGGTTTTCTGGTGCGGCAATTGTGGTATTCATTCATCGGCTAACTTCGGGTCGGGAACGGAAGCTGGCTTTGCGGGGATGTCGCGGCTTATGGGGTTAGCCTTTGCCTTCGGAGGCCAGCATTTTCACTGCGCGCACCCAGGGGTGCTGGAGGTTGGTGCCTATTGATTCAGCTTGGAGTTGAAAGCCCGACGTGGACAGGGACTAGGGCCGCAGGCGGCCACGGCACTGCTGGCACTCGAGGACGTGTTTCCCGGGCATACCGGGCGGACAGGGGAGGGCTGGCTTTGTTACCACAAGGCGCGCTGCGCGCCCGGGGCGCATTCGGGGGGGGGGGCAGCAGGCCCCGGATGCTTGTCTGCAGGATGCACCGGCTAGGTGTTAGCACTCACGCTCCAATCAACTGGCACGCAACTCTTGGCCAGGCGGCCATCTCTCTTGGGCCTGGTGACATTTTTGCCCTTGGGGGCAGCAGGGCTGTTTCTGTACTTTGGTGTTCTTTCTCTTGCCGACCGGACAGGAAGCGCCATCTCATACTCATGGCTGGGATAGGAGTATTTTAGTCCAAAGCTGTAGGCTCGGAGGCACTAGCAGCTCTCTGTGTGTGGATTGGCGCTGTGCGGCTCTAGAGCTTCGGCAAGCGATTTCGGACCGCCGAGCCCGGCGGGGGGCCTGGCATTTGGGATCTTAGGCGCTCTGGGTCGGGTTAGCACACATGGTTGGATTTGGCACGGGCCTCATAGGTTGATGGCAGATGGCTACTGGCGCTGCCTCCCCAAGAGCCTGATAGAACCGCGTCGGGGCGCCCCGGGCAGGGCGGGTCTAGGCGATGTCGACGCTTCTACAAGTAGAAGCAGCGTCTGGGCGGATATCGCAGGGGTGGTCTCCCCCTTGCCTTTCTCTCTCTCTTGGCTGGTCTAGTTTGGTAGCGGAACCCACATGCGCGCCGGTTATTTGGTGGCGGCCAGGAGATTTAGTCGCTTGGGAAGTTATGAGCACGCACAGGCCCGGTTCCGGAAGCGTTGTTTTTAGGCCGGGTTTTTTGAGGCATGAGGCCCTTGTGTCCGAAGTCATGGGAAGCATATCATACATCCTGGGGGCAGACGCAGGGCCACTAGTTGGGTCAATAGCTTGGGTCTCATTCGGGGACTACGCCCAACATAGGTGGAGCAGGGTCGAGGACAGGCAGGCCCAACATTGTTGATTGTTCGAGTGGTTCTTCAGCGGATCGTTCTGTTTTATACGAATAAGTAGTGCTGTAAGTACGAGTACGTTACATGATAGATCACTACAGTGAACAAGAATTTCAAATGAATTGTAAGTTGTAAATAATATTATTACTTATTTTCCAGCTCACCCTTACCCCTGACCGATCCGGGGAAGCAATCTTTCGCGCTGGTTTTATCCCACGAAAAAATTGTTACCGTGACACATTGATTGATTTGTAACTTCAGCAATACAATAAACTCGCTCTGCATGACAGAGAAAACTTGCAATGCAGAGATCATAAGGTGGAAAAACACGTATGAGGCGAGGTTCGAAAGCATATCGTGCATGACATGCGTAATTCTCTGTATAACTGCATGTTCTGCAAGATCACAATGTGTGACTGTAAAAACGGTTTTTCCTTTGCATACGTTTCGCACCTGAGCTACACCACGATTATCTCTTCCATCGTCGGGTGCTTTTTGCTCTTGAGGTTTGTTTATGCAATGCAAAAGCATCGTACTAGTTAGTATAAAATTGCATTACAAATTAGCCCAGCATTACAAATTGACTTTGTAATGCTGATTTACCTTGAGAAAAAGTTTTGTAATGCGTAAATGCAATTACTACGACTACGATACAACTTTCGCACAGGATATTGTTTTCCTGAACAACCGGAAAAACTACCTGATCACGATATCCTGAGTCAAAACGTCCTCCCCACCCCAGAGGCAAGATGCCCATTTTGCTACACAAATGAGCAAGTTTTGGCTGTTTCGCATGACAAAAGCTTCGAGATGGCATTATAAAATGCTTTTGATGGGTCTCCGCATGAGAAACATTTTAAGCATGCAGATTTGCATATGCAGCTCTGGGGTGGGCACGTTTTTCCATGGGATACAGGAAACTGTACAGCGACGTGGGCAACAACCTTCTCTGCGCAAACCTGCTCCTCTATCGCAAGAAAATAAAACCGTCTCAGTCTCAAACCGTAGTTACTGTAGTTGCAGACCCAGCAATACAAATTTGCAGCTCAGCATCATGAAGACACGAAAATAAGACTGTGATGCGTCAGACACTACAAGGGTGGGACACACATAATATGAAAGAAGACTCTCTAGCATATGGAGCATGACAATAAAAATGACGCAAGGAAGTTGCGCAGTGCAAGTTGAGACTGTGAGGCAGTTTTCCTTTTCTCTCGCGATATCCTCCCCTTCCTTTTCACTTCCTACCCACTGATATCCAAGGAAAAAACGTTGTTAGTGTAAATTTGTGATGCGCAGCATGCAAGATGATTGCGTCTGTCATGCTTAGCATGCATCGTAGCGTCCACTAAAGGGCGTTTTCGCGTGCTATCTGCGCATGACAGGTTTTTGCTGTCATGCCAGACAAATTTGTAATGCTGTTCCTCCAAAAAAGTTACACCTACAATCTTTTTTCCTGGGATAACTGAAGTTTTTCCTCTACTAACAAATGCATAATACATTTGAGTCTGGAAATTGGTGATGCTCTATCTTGTATGGTTCAACCAGTTATTTCAAGCACTGCCAAGCATGACAAGTTTTTAGTTTTACCGTGCTTTCGCGTAGATAGTACGCATAACTATTACAAAGTAATGCGTTCCACCTGCGCAAGAAAAAAGCGCCCCTACTTTGCTGGTCATGCAACACAGATTCTGCAGGCATGCAGGAGAAGTACCAGAAGTTCCGCACTTCACGATCCATACCCAGACACAATATTTGCAATGCATATCTACTGCTGGGCCGCAAGTCTGGGACTATGTCTTGCAATGCAGCTGTGTCTACCGCCGCTGATTGTCACGCGATTTGTGGATAGCAACAGCCTCCCAAACGGGAATGGCGAGGAGGGCAGTGAGGAGAATAATAGCAACAATTTTATTTCAACATCCGATCCATCTGCACCCGGGATGGTACATAACCAAGCGACCTCGTCTTCATCCACAGCGGGAATATCAAACAAGAACAGAATAGATGGAGTAGGTGGACCTCCACCACAACTAGGTAGCTCTGGCTCCTCCTCTTCCTCTCAGCCGCTACCCGACCTGCCCTCCCATGCAGCAGACGCGGCTTCTACTACCACCGTCAAGCCGCCCCCTTCTGAACATCGCCATCTGGCCGGGCTGCTGTTCTGCCAAAACTTAGCGATAATAGCAGCGAAAAGCATTGCGGACAATTTCGCGGTGGCCGACGTCTTCGCCGCCAGCGGGGAGCCACCAAGCCACGCAAACTGCTTCGTGCTCTTTGCGACGGTGTTGTTTACGGCGAATCTGCTGCTGGCAAATAAACTCGCTTACCCTCCAGAAGAGTACACGCGTTATTATACCGGAAGAGCATAAGTTTGTCTTGTACTACCTGAATTCCTGTCATTGTATAAAACACTGCAAATGAAATTAAAATGCAGATGAGACCGAAAGAGTAGAGGCAAGTTTGTGTCATGCAGAGTGCAGTTTGCGTTGCGAGTTAGCGACGGGAGAGCTACGACCACAAAGAAGATTTGCGCGACGCTAAAAATTGTTGCAACGCAAACTCATTTTTTTTCTGGTATTCGATGGGTGTACTTTTCTGCAGAATATCGCTACGAAAGAGGAAGAATTGGCAAGGGTGAAGATGGGCCTCGCAATATCTTGTGTAAAAACGTACCCATGATGAACCCTTAGTCAAGTACATGGGAGACCTGCTAAAAGACATTCACATCAAGATGGGAGTAGAGGATGCTGCTATTAAAGCCAGAGGAAAAGAACCCGGCAATCTTGTTCATCTGCTTCTGGTTTCTAAGACCAGCATGGTACGTCCTCGAACCTCCGGCTACGCATTGATTATGAGCGTCATCCTTTATTTATATTTATTCCCGGGCACGCAGATTTGCATGGCAGCTGTGCGGTCGTGGGTCCGTTTTTCTTTTTGCACTGGATACGGTATGGGCGGCGGAACCGGCGTTGGCGTTGGTGGAAGACAGCAGCTGCACGGTGGGTTGCAGGAATGAAGATGATGATCACTATATTACACTGGATGGTGGATCACATACAACTTCTATGTAGTTCTTGTCCCTGCGCCTTGTTGACCTCCGGCCACGCTGCCTCTTCTCGCTCTTACGTGGCACTACAACTACTACAGCACATTTCTCTAGTAGAAGCCGCCCTATGTTGCCGCGAATACACCTGAGCCAGAAGGTAGTGCAGTAGGCAGAAGAAGTGTTGACAATATTGAAGAAATTGATCTTAAGTGCAGACTTGATGACGAAGGTCATTTTTGATCGCTTTGGTCGTAGTGCTGTGTTTTTGTCAATAACAATATGTTGATACAGGTAGAGTTATAGAAGTTCGTTGGGTTTTTGGATGTTGTGCTAGTACTCTCTTCTACTCCTCTCAAAGACAAAGGCTTGGCATTGTTACAAATTAGTTTTGTAAAAAATACCTCGACTGCTGCTGTTTCGTCAAAATATTAAACGCAACCTCATCCTGGTTTTGCGTAAGACGTAACTGATAATTTTGTATGAAAAAGTGTCCTCAGATCTGGTTCGAAAATTACAAAAATGCGTTCGTTTTTTTCTCCGCCTCGTCTGCTTTTCGCTGCAAGAAGGTCGTTCCTGCCCGATGATCATTTTGGTGAAGTTTTCTTGTCAAAGTCAACCACGGCTTTGTTTTGATTTTTATCTGCCGGGCCACCTCAACTAGTATTCTTCGCAACTACCTCCTGCCTTGCCCGTCACATATTGATTGGAGTCGACGGGTTCTGTCTCCTGCAAAAATTCTCTTCTCCAAAGCGTCGCAAAGACCACCCCCCGAACGGGTAGCTAGACGGAGTTGGGCAGATTTGAGGCGACGACCACCTTTTCTGAGGACGGCAGCGGTGCAGGCTCAGACAGCATTTTTGCTGGCGTCGAATCCTCCTCAAGAACCAAGTGCGTCGGTAACCGCACGTGAACTACCGTGCAGCATGAGAATGGGCAGCACGAGACGGTGCGCCGTAGCGAGGGCATGCACGACGCGTGGAACAAGTAGAAGATGCGCATCTTTCATCCGTATTGCGGGAGGGAAGAATTATACTACCACCAGGATGAACAAAACCCCCTCCCACAGTCGTGCCGCGATCGTGCTGGCCATGATGGTGTTGAAAATGAATTCTTTGCTCAGCCTACTATTAAAGCCGGCATACTTCTTCTACACGACGAGTCCCGTATCATTTGTCGCAGTTCACGCGGCGCATTGGAACCCGAACGAGATTCCGCCAGAAATGTTTATGTCCGCCATGGACTTTGATCCCGCAGCAACGACACCAGCGTCCTCCAGCACCTCGCCATTCGATGGAGAACGGAAAAATTTTCGTGCGGAGCACCAAGCGGCACCTGGTGCTGTCAAAAAACCTACTGCTTCCCCGTCGGCCGGCGCGAAAGCAGGTGGCACGAGGAAGCTCGGCAAGGAGACGAAAGAGAAATCTAGCTGCAGTGACGAGGGCGCCAGAAAAAACAATACAATGACAATTTCTGAATCTGAACAATCCGTTGAGGGAGGTACCAGCATGGATGTCGATAATATGGCGAGGGAAGGGAGGGACGTCGCGTCTGGCGGGAGCACGACAAGGAACGCTGCTGAAGAAGTTGTTCCGATGATACAAGAGCAGGGAGGGCAACACCATCACCAGCAAGAAGCCGCGGGATCAGCCCCCGGCGCATCCGTATGAACTGCAAAAGTATCGCACTCGTATAAATGCATTACAAATTTCCTCAGCATGAGTAGAAAAAGAAATAAAATCTTTAATGCGACTTTACCTTAAGAAAAAGATTCGTAGTGCATGATTGCAATACGACTGCGAATGCGATACTTTTGCAGTAGTTCATAATCCGGGATGGACAGCAGCTGGATTTTCAAAAACACCTCGGCGCTCTTTCAGGAGGCACTATCACACAGAAAAAAGCAGGCAGGTCTTCATGGTCACATTTGTAATGCAAAAACAAATACACGAAAGAAATCTGCATTGCATATCCTAAACAGCATGCTATGGGGCCAGGCATGACAGATTTTTCTGTGTATTTAAGGTTTGCATTACAAATTATTTGCCCACCTGCCTGCTTTTTTCTGTGGGATAGGCACAGCAGGCAGCGTACTACCTTGCGCGGTCAACGGCCATGGAGGCAGCGCAACTGCGGGACCAGATGTCCCCAGGGAAGATGATGATGGAGAATTATATGATGAAAACCAAAGCACTCTTGGTCCCCTCCTCGCCTTCGAAATTGAAGAACCCCATGGAGTATGCACTACAAATATAAAGTATCGTTGTAGAATAAATCGCATGACAATTATCAAGGACTAGCAAAGAAACATAGAATTCGTTGATACACCGCCACAATTTCAATTTGTATGAAAGCGAGAGTGGATGTGCTGTCATGGCCTGATTGCGTTTACAACGAGCGCGATGCTTCTCGTTTTGTAGTGGATATGGGAAGACTGAAGTCCGCCGGAACTAGCATGATGCCCAAGATCACGGACTTTGATTTCTCGCATTTCGGAGGCGGAGGAACAGGGGGCACAACTAGTAGTACAGTGCCAGCATCAGGAACCGCGACTGCGGGGGAACAAGAACGCCATGGAGCAGACACTAACGCATCAAAAGGAACTAGTACTTTTAGGAAAAACAAGAAGGAGAGGAAGACAGGGACGAACCTTCACGACGGAAGTAGGGCGTCAGCGTCGACGTCCATCAATTCCGCTGGTATTTTGAAAACAAAAAAAGACAACCGCACGAATCTTCCGACGGCAGACGCCAGTGGGACAAGTACCGGCTCCTCGTGGACGAGTGCGATGTTTGCGGAGAGTCAAAACCCCCCGCAGGTTGCTCCTGCTGTCGAAGTTGTGGGAGAAGCAGTCGCACAACTAGGAGCCGCGCCCGTCAGTACATCTGCCCATAAAAAGCAGAGCAGCAAAAGCTCCAAGCACGCGAAACAGAATATGCACTGCAAAAGCATCGTGATCGTCGAATGATCGTGCGTAGTCGTAATTGCATGACCAATTATTTCCTTGGCATTAAAGTTAAATATAATCAGACGTGTAAATCCCAAATCAGGTACTTACAACCAGGAGACCACATCTATCATGATGCATGATGGCAACTATTACTGTAGTAGGACGCATTCGAGTGCGATGCTGTTGCGCAGAATACAGAAAAAAAAACCGAAAAACTTCTTGGAAATCGAACCTTCGAGTTTTCCGTATGGGATTCTCAACTGATACGTTCTCAACTGTTCCATGGTTATGGTTTGTCATGCAAGACTTCCAAATTTGTAAATGCAAGAGGCGCAAAATATCCCTGGTCAATTCAATTGGCCAGGGATATTTGTTTGCGCCGCTTGCATAATAGAATTTTTGGAACAACGGATGGCCATGCTATTTAGCCCTTCAAGTAGAATTTGTACTGCGAGCCAGCTTCATGGCGTTGAAGTTGCTGGCAATTTTGCATTACAAAGCATGTACCACTCGAGAATGTTGCGCCGTTTGAGACTGTCATATACCGCCGAGTCCGCCAGACAGCGACGAGATTTCGGTGGTAGATGCTGTGGATGTGGCAGAAAGAGGGTACTATACTGTTTTTTGTATTTACGTTATGAAATTTGGAGCAAGTGGTCTGCTCTGCACAACAAGTACCGATAGAGAGCGCATACTGAAGTCCTTCGGCGTTCCTGTTTATTGTAAAGAAAAGTTGTAAAGTCTTGATCTAGATCTTCTTCGTGCCACCTGTACAAGTACAAGTAGTGCCGCTATATATTTTCTCAAGATAAAAGCAAAATTGGAAAAATCACAGTTCTTCCCTCGCGGCGATGTCGTCTATTGGGGAGGAGATTCTGGTATCAAGTGCAAATATCCCTGCAGGGTCTGGATGATTGCACGGCTTGTCATGCAAGTTTTCCTTCACGTTCAGTTCACGCCTCACAAGAACAGATTTTTCTGTGAGAGTGAGGTCTTGTTTCTCACACCCACTTATTCTGCACGAGAAACAAGCTTGATGTCCACGATGGGCACGACCATAACTACGACGTGTGCTAAGCAACATGCGAAACAGAAGATTCTTGTGAGTGTGACTCTGACTGACAGGACAGCGCATCTTCACAAGTTTGCAGTCTACAACTTCCAGACGCAGAGCGATATTTGCAACGCATAAGTGGGTATCAACTGCAAATATGTCTGGGTCTGGAAGAATGCCAGACTTGTGATGCAGGTTTTGCATGTCCCATGAGGTCTGGTATGTAGGACAGAGCATGACAGATCATTTGAGCGCTCTATCATACCTATCCTCCATGAGAAACTGCCTCTCGATTAGGTCAAAAGCGGACAGCTTTTGGTAATCATACAACACAGATTTTCACACGATTCAGATGTAGCATGACAAGTTGCAGCTTTGTTCCAGACCCAGACATTTTTGCATTTGATAGTGGGGCAAATTTACGACAGTATGCCCGACCCGTCGAGTATCACCAGCCCGCTCGAGGAATTGGGGAAGAGACTCTCGAGCCTTGTGTTGCACGACAGCTTCTCAACGACCTCATCCGGTAAGAGAATACTGGAACAAAACCTGGACCCGTTTTTGCTGAAGACCACTGTAGGAGGTGGAGCAGGAGAACAACGAGGTGACAGTGACAGCAAGTCGGGACGAAGAACCACCACGACTAGCACGACGAAGTGGGATGAATCAATCTCGTCATCTAGTACGAGCCTTCTCAACAACGGCGCGGAAAACATGAGTAATACGGTCATCAGGGAAGATTATTTCTCCTCAGGAGCTGGTGCACCACCCGCGAGGAGCCAGGCACTTACCACGGTTGCCGAAGACGAGCTGCAGGACGAGTCATGTTGTGGTAGTTCCCCCAGCAGTATCAGTAAATCTAGTTCCACCTCGAGGGATACGAAGAACAAGCCTTCATCTCCGCTACAATCAAATGACAAGCACGTTTCTCCTCCGCTTTCTGAGACCGATGGAGGAAAGGGAGTACTAGCAGTCGAAAGCATTCAAGCACTACCTCTTGTTCTCGAGGAACCGGCGAAAAAGTATGACTCACAGGCAGGCGAGCAACAAGATGAAGTACAACTCCGGGATCATGAAAAGGATACCACGCACCACAGTACCTCCGCACAAGGACATCAACAGAACTACACTGGTAAAAAATCTTGTTGTAATGCCGCAAGTGTAGTTGAACGACAACCATCTCCCCACCGGATCATGTTGTCCACTGGTGAAAAGGGACGGGAACAAACTTCCCCCGTCGGGGTCGGGGCTGCAGGTGGTCAGCTGGGACGAGATGATAGTAGAGGTACGGAGCTCGAGTTGAACCCAAAGCCAAACTCACCTCCAGAAGTGCAAGAGAAGATCAAAGGCGGTACAAGAATTTTTACAGCCGAAATGGACGTTGATGAGGATGAAGACAAGGAGGACTTCCACGATTCTAATGAGGTTGAACAAACATCGGATAGTGGTGGTGCAGCTCCAGGGGAAATAAACGATGCAAGTGCATCAAATTCAAAGCGACATGTACATGACGTCGACAACAATGAATCCGACTCGGAGTTCCACGAAGCGCTCTCCAACGACGAAGATTTTGCGAGCTCCTGGTGCGTTCTATCAAACAAATGCACAAGTAGAACTGAATCCTCCTGGCTGCGTTTGTCATGCAAAACTTCTACAGCATCCATCATTCTTTGTGTCTTGTGGCGCTGGGAGCGGGTGTCCATGATGATGATGATGATGTCTTAGCACGACCGGCTGCATTTTGACAAGTCTTGGGAATTATACAGTACAACACTTCTCCGCGTGTAAGTAGACTCACTTGCCATGCGAAGAAAGCTGCACTCTTGCGACTGTTTCTATTCTTGTCGATGCCATGATGCCTATGCAAATGAGGGGCGGTTGAGTAGTAGTTCTTGTGTACTGTAATACATTTTGTCCGACGAGGACTATGGAATTCCAGCGTCTTCAAAAGACGAAGAGAACGATTCGCCTGCAAGTGCTGGGGACGAGGATCATACAACAGAAAAAATTCAGCACCAACTACGACCAGACCAAGACCAGGATGAAATAAAAAATGCAGTTGTCCTGGATGGCGGACCACCAGCAGCGATGCCCGACAGCATCAAGCCGCGCAAACTATATGAATTGCAAAAGTATCGTACTCGTATAAATGCATGACAAATTCCCCCAGCATGAGAAATAAGATTTGTCATGCGGATTTACCTTGGGAAAAAAACTTGTAATGCATGACTGCGATTGCTACGAGTACGATACTTTTGCACAGGATAAACTACAGCGCGCAACCACGATCTCCACGCGGTGCGACTCGTCCGACACCCTGCCAATTCCGTTCTCGCCAGCTGCATCAGAATATGCTGCGCGAAAGTATCGCACTCGTATAAAAAGTGCATTACAAATTTCCTCAGCATGAGAAAAAAATTTGTAATGCTGATTTACCTTTAAAAAAAAGATTTGTAATGCATGATTGCAATTCGAGTACGATTACGATACTTTTGCACAGGATACAGAACAGCCGGGGTCGCCCAGAAGTAGCAACGCGAACGGCGACGATTATTACGCGAATGCCGAGGAGGATCAGGATGCTCATCAAAATGCCAATTCGCAACTGCTGCTGGAGGGCGTGGATTTTGACAACAGCACCGAGGACAACTCACAAAGGCGAACAAGCACTCGCGCTGCTCTCCGAAGAACTACGACCTCACAAGAGACCAAAAAGATGGAGCTGCAACTGGAAGCTTTGGCTACGGCTGCGCTCGCGGAATCGGAGTGGGTCATGCCGAACCCGGCCGTCACGGATGCGGCGAAAGGCGTGACGACGATGACTTTCTTACGGAAAGTCCAGCTGGACCTGACTGGTGTCAACAGCGTTCGCAGCGCGGAGGGGCAGAGTCTTGTCACCGCGAAATCCTGGCCGCCATGCGAGTTTGGGTTCGATCTCGCCCGCTTTTCGAAGCAGCTCAAAAAACTACCCGAGTACGGAAGCGAAGAGGAGGCTACGCATCGCAGAACGATATCGTAAGAGCGTGAATTGCATATGCAAACTTGACGTTGAGGAGGAAGATTGGAATTTGTCCTGCTGATGAAGGTGGGGAAGCAGACTTGTGATGCATGTTACTGCAATGAGTACGACTACGATATTACTTTTGCATCGGATAGAGGCTGAGAAGGTCTGGAAGGAGGACGTGAAGAAGGAATTGGAGATATTGTGTGTAAAAACGTCCCCATACTTCAATCATCGACAAATCTGCATGCTTCAAATGTTTCGCATGCAAAGTTTCATGAGAATCATTTTCCAGTGGTATACGTGATGCTCGAATCAGCATGAAATGCTCGCTAGCTATACCTAAACACGACTGCAATATTGCGAGCCCAAAGTTGTCATGCCCGAAAGCCAAAACGCATTGAATTTTCTAGCAGATTTCCCATCTTGCCTCTTGGCTGTGGAGTCCGTTTTTACTCACGATAGGAAAAGCGGGAGAAACTGGCGAAAAGCGGAGGGAAAAGTGCTGAAGTAGGAACAAAGGCAACAACGACAGCCACGACGAAAGCCTCAACACCGCTCTGTCTGTATCCTGTGCAAAAGTATCGTACTCGTATAAATGCCAGACTAGCATGACAAATCTGGTTTCTTAGGTAATTTAGCATGACAAATTCATTTTTTCATGCTGAGGAACTTTGTAATGCATTTATACGAGTACGATACTTTTGCAGTTCATAGTCTTGCATCGGATGACGCGGCCAAACACTTGTATTTTCGCTTTGGATATCAGCTGCAACTATGTGCCTGGGTCTGGAAGATTGCAAGACTTGTCATGCTAGTCTGGCATGACGCTGCACATGCACTCTGTATTGCCTGGCCGCAAACACGCTCTCCCGCCTGTCATGCAAAAACGCAGCGTCTCATGCGGGATAAAAAGTACGCAGCACAGAAGCACGAGAAAGCTTGTCATGCTTGGCGGCGCATTTTTACAGTGCGCTTCTATATAATTCTCTGACTGGCATCTTCACAGCTTTCCAGATCCAGGCGTATTTGCAGTTGATATCGGGTTGGACACGGTGTCGATGAGCCGCGCGAACCAGTACATCGACAATTTGGTGCTTCCGCCGAAGGTACTAGAAGTAGTTGTATTTTGTGCACGAGTTTTGTGTCACTTGCAATGATCTTGCTCCTCGTTCTATTTTATAGAAAAGTAGTATAAAGAGAAATGCTTCTACGTGGTCTTAGTCTTACTGCGTTCGTCTTTGATTGTGGTGACACATCAACTTCGATTCTTGCATCAGTTTTATGTTTGTAAAAAAATATTTAGAAAAGCAGGATCGCATTTTTTTCAAGATCAAGGTAAAGAATCGACACAAAATCCACGCAAACCTCCAGGTGTCTTTCGGCCCCACGCACTACCGGCAAACGCATGTGACATTAAACCAGCCCGCTACTGTGCAAGACACGACGAAAACCGAAGTTTCGCTCGACATCTTTTCCGCCGAAGACACCCCGTACCTCTGGACGCTCCAGGTAACGGCGGAGGTGATGGTGCAAACAGGCGCGCGCTTCAGGGTGGTTGCGAAGTTAAAAGAGATGATCGCGAAAGCTGTGGCGCACTGGGGCCTCCCCGAGCTGAATCACGAGCTTTCCCCCTTCCGGGAGATTGCGGAAAGTTTGACGCTGCTGTTTGTCAAGGAGGTTCTGGTTTGACGAGGGAACAATGGGAAATTTGGAAGCAGGTCAGTGATACATAGCTGTGCCGGACGAGATGTTGGACGTGAATAAAGAAGGCAACCGGCACACTAGCTGCATTTCTGACCGATATGAAGGTGATTCCGATAGCAGGATGTTTTTCTAGATATAGATTAAGAATACAGAAACAAAACGAAAATGAAAAAATGGAACATTGCTCTGTACTATGAATGTGGTATCCGTAAAGAAATTCGATAGATGCGCCATCTTTTTACAGGATCGATGGCCATGAATATTACACTGGATAATTTTATACTGTCGTACGGATTTGCAAGAATATCAATATCGTTTCTGTTTATATCGTTTCGCCATTGTCGTGGCCATGCAATAAATTGAACTAGTACAATCATGTATCAGAACAATCAATGTTTTGACGGCGCCGCCGCCGCGGCCGCTCCCTTGCAAGATTGAGTAGAATTTTACGCAGTGTTTTGTTGTAAAAGTTCCAATCTCTTGTAGGTGTTGTGTCTTGTAATTACTAATGTTGAAAATAGAAGGAGTCAATAGCTGCATTGGATACAAGAAGCTATGACATACTTGCAGCTAGGGTACTATTGGGGAACGAGAACGGTGCTGTAAAAAAAATAGAGCAGATGGGTTTCAAGTGGAAGCTTCCCATTTACCTCCGGAGTTTTGAAGTTTGCACGAATGAAACTAAAACGCCAGATGACGAAGAAACAACATTGTTGAGCACGGTCTGCAAAACGCAAAGGTGGTGGAACAAGGTATGATATAAAGCATCTGAGTCAACAGCACACACTCCAGTGCTGGAGGATAGCATCAACGTCGCTGCTAAAACTGAAGGCGATAGTGGTTGAAGAAAAGTCGTCTATGTATTTGCATGTTTTGATTGGTAAAATATGATAGGTATATTTTCTCCTGATGCTCCGGCACAGTGTTGGCGCAGCCGCTGCGATGAGGGACAAGGAGGCAAACTCGATAATTCATTGTGTTGAAAGAGAGAGGATATTATATTTGGGAAGACCAAGACGACGACCTTGGAGCGGACAGTGAAGAAGGTCAGGGACAGGCTTTGTTTTCCTCCTGTCGTCGTGCACTAACACCACGACTTCTTGCCGGGGAGTTTGTTTATAACGCTGAGTGGTAAAATAAAAATAAAGAATTGAAATCATAAAATAAAAGATCATCACAATAAGACATCATGGCCGTTCCACTTTTCGTCCGCTACCTGTACTCCCTCATTCGCAATGGGATGTGGGAGGATGCGGCTGTCGCCCGGACGGACCCTGTGTTTCAGAACTTCAAAGATATTCTGTTGCTGAATTATAGCAACACCAGCCAAGAAGTAGTCGCTGGGATATCAAAAAAGCCTACAACACCAGCACCAGCAGGAGGACCCCAGCAAGGACCACCACCACGTGCTGTCGCTGCCAGCTATTTGTTTACCAATGCTGAGGAACTTGTCGCCCCCTACTTGACCTGGCGCTTTTCGTACCTGGTTTGCGGGTCGTTTTTCGGGCTTTGGAAAATCATTCTGGACTCGCCCATACCCGCGTTTGGGGGCAAGAGCTACGAGGAGCTTAAGCAGGACTACAAAAAGTTTCTCCAGGAACAATTGCCTGTCGAAGTGTCGCTGGATGAGTTCGACAGTCTGCTGGAAGTGTTAACCTACGAGGATTTGGGGTTCTTCATCGTCTCAATTGTATCGGTGTTCTTCACGATTGTATCTGTCTTGTTGCTGCTTTCGCTGTTTCGGACACTGCCGCGCGCGGTGGGGCCGGCGCGAAGCGGTGCTGTTGCTGTAGTTTCTGATGCTAATTTATTTCGAAGAAGCGCGACAACGCGCCTCGGGACGACGAGGACGAGCTCGGCTTCATTCTCTCCATATCAAATGCAAATATGTCTGCTGGGTCTGGAAGGTTCGAACTTGTGATGCTAACTTTGGACTCTAAAAATATCTGTATTGCATGACCAGCAAGAGGAGTGTAGTTTGTGCTACGCGGGGAGGGCATTTGTCATGCGAAGTAGGCATCAGGAAGCCCTCTGAAAATCTGTGATGCTAGGTCGTGCATTACAGACATCCTGCTGGGCCATGCAAAATATGCATGGCAAACCCGGCAACATTCCAGACCCAGACACTTTTGCATTTGATACACCAACGGCCTACGCAAACCCACACGGCGCAGCAGCTGTACCACAGGTGGACGAAGCCGTAACAGTTGTTCTTGGGAAGCCGCAAATTTTTTTACATGGCGGGGGAAACAAGCAAGTGCAAGGAGGGCCGCCGAGGACGTCAGGGGCAAATAAAGAGGTGGGAACATCATTAAACATTCAAGACATTCTTATGGAAGCGTCAGGATCGAAATCGTGAAAGTTGAAATAGTTTGTGATGCATAAAATGGATACCAGTTGTAACCCAGCTTCCAAGTGGCGCATGACAAATTTGGGTAGAGCCGAAAGGCAGTTTGTCATGCTGTCTGAGTAACGAAGACGCCTTTTGTCATGCTACTTTAGCAGCTCAGTTTCTACCTCTCAACAGGCTTACAATCTGCCTAGCTTGCCTACTCTGCAAGACAGGCACTTCGTGCGCTGCATTTTATGCATGACAAATCATTTCAACTTTGTCGATTTCGATTCTGACACTTCCATAATTCTCCAGGAAGAAGCCGAGCGATTGAGGGCGAAGCAACAGAAGTTCTTCGTGAGTCAGTCGCCAGCTGCGCATATCCTGTGCAAAAGTATCGTACTTGTAGTAATTGCAGTCATGCATTACAAACTTTTTTCCAAAGGTAAATCCGCATGACAAATTTTATTTCCCATGCTGAGGAAATTTGTAATGCATTTATACGAGTGCGATACTTTTGCGATGCATAGCGCAGCGCGCCGAGGACAAAGTTGCTCTGGAGGGTCACCATAACCTGCCCCCACCAGGACCTCCTAGTCGTGAAAATGAAAATGACATTTATTTCTCGTCCGCAGTAGATGGGCGAGGAGCCGCACAACTAGACCGCCAGCCTCTAACCCCCGCAGTTCCCCCCGGCGTGACTATTCCCAACCTGCACTCGGCTCCACCGGATAAAAAGAATGTTAAACCTGCCACTACGTCGTGGTCGCAGGCTTCTCTAGCGGGCGGAAGTAGTGGTCTTCTAGATCCGTACAGACCTACCCCGGAGCAGCAATATGAGTACAACGCAGTGGACTTCGATTTGTCAGACTACAACACCGCAACGTCATCAAATGTCGCAAGGCATCTTCAAACGGCGCATCATGCAAGAGCAAATGGCTCTACTACAACTCACGGTCAAGATGAGCCCGACGTTCTCCGCGCTTTGCCGGAAGCTAAGGAAAAAACCAAATTGCTTTTCCACACCATCGCTTACTCCCGCAAAACCGTGGCACTCGCTTGGCTGATTGCGTTTGCTCCCCCGTTTCTATTCCTCCTCATCTACCCGATTCGGTCGGCAGTAGATTGGGACCAAGTCGTTGCGGACGTGTGCGTTTACAGTGTGAAAATGGTCTTCGACAGCCCAGGGACGGAAGTGCAAAACACCTTGCGACTCGTCAGCGAGGCCGGGTTACTGGATGCCGACACAACTCTGTTAACCGACGTGGACAAGCTCCCGGAGTGGTGCAGCCTGCAAAACCGGGAGTGGCACGAAAAATTCTACAGCAACGCGCTCCGCTGCGCCTGGGTCGTGGAGGACCGGTGTCGCGACATCTATTGTGCCGCCGCCGCATTCCCCGCGAACGAAGTGAAAAAAGTACCGGAATGCTTGACGGACTGTCTCTCCTTTGCCATCGCCAAAGTGGGCGTCGCCACCGTCCGCCGACAGACACTGAACATTTTTGCCACTTGTTCCGACCGCAACGCGCCATTCACTTTGGGGATCAAACCTATGTAATCGGAATAAATCTATCGCAATACTACATGCAAATCGCCTACGCCTGCTATATCAATATACTTACACTGTCATCTAATTTTTATCAAGTTGACAAGGCAGTGCACATTGTAATCAATGCTGAATCATCTGTAGAAAAAAGTTATGTCATGCCAGATGCCATTGAAGAAATACATACGAGTATCGGATAGTACTTTTGCAGTGGATCCTTCCCCCAAAGTTACGATTTTCATCGTCCACCAGCACACCGAGGGAACTGTTACCGCCGCGCGAACAAGGCCCTTCTGTTTCTGGTGAAGGAGCAAAAGATCAGCAAAGAAGTCGCGGTGCTTCATCGGCACTACACACGAAGGCGGAACAAGCTCCACTGGGATTTTTGCCTGGCCAGAAAACAGCAACTGTAGAGGCTCCTGTAGATGACGCACCAGAACTACTGGAGCACAAGAACGGCAGAGGAGGTGCTGACCATGGCGAGATTGTCCTCGCGGCTTTGCAAGATGAACTCAAGCTGCAACCTCGAGGATTTTCCTATCAACAAGCTTCTCCTGCTACTTCTTCCGGGTCAAGAATTTCTGGAAGGCTTCAAGATCACGCTTCTTTGACGGAGAACTTCCCTATGCAGCAGGAGGAGTCTACTTTTCACGCCGCCCTCTTAGCACGCCGACCACACAGCAGGCCGCCGCGACGTGCTCTCACGACTGTGTCCACCACTCTGGCCCTGGCGGACTACTTTTCCACCGTCATATCGACAGTAAATTTCCTGTACACGTACAAATGCTGTCTCTGCATGAAAAAATTTGCCTTCAATCCTAGTGTAGCATGACAAGTTGTACACTGCAAGTTAGCAAAATGTGTCATGCATTTTGTACATGTACAGGAAATTTTAATTTACATTGCATACGTCACTCACCACTTTTACGACATTTTCATTTACACCAACCGACAACTGATTCTCACCGGCAGCGCCGCTGCCACCTTTGCCTCGGTCCAGGCCGAGTACGTGGTCGGCTTACTCGTCGCGATCGCGTCCAGTAGGGTCCTCGTGGCGTCCGCTCTGTCACTGCTGGGCGGTCTGGCGGAGGCGTTGCTGAACCAGAAGGCGCTTTTTCCCTTGTCTCAGCACGGCGGCTGGATTCTCATTTTGACTCTGTGCGAAGCGCTCCCGGTATACGCCGCATTGCTGGCGCTGTTGCAGCAATTAATCGGAGACTACGTGTTCTCCCTGGTGTGCCTGCTGTTCTTAGCGTACATCTATCCACTGCAAATTTATATTGCCTGGATGTAGAAAACAAAGGAAACTTGTCATGGTGCTGAAGTACAACTTCGCAGATGAGGAGCAGATTCAATCATCGCAGTTGGCAAGCTCAAGCAAGCATGACGAGTTTTTTCTCGGCGCCAGTTCCTCGCTGTGTGAGTATTTGATATGAAAACATCCACTTTCGTCGCGAGTAAGCACTTACATCAAACAAGTCCGAGTGATGTTGTCGGACAGCATGCGGTTGTACAAACGCTAGATCCACATTAGACACACATAATGTCCAGTTCCAAGAAAGCCAGACATAAATATTTGCAATGTCGATGACACCGCGACGGGAATCCGCACCGGTTGGAGACTGCTGACTCTGCGGAAGATGAATTTCGACTTGAGTAGCCTGAGTGCGTCCTCTATCAAGGAGAAAAGACCCATCCCCACGATCCAATTTGTCATGCACAACATGCATGAAGTCCAGTGTTTGCCATGCAAAAAATGGATGGGGATGGTTTTTTTTCTAGGGATATCCTCGGGCTTTGGGCTTCTTCGTGGAGCGGACGCGGAGGAGGCGAACCTGCCCAAGGTGGACGGACAGGCTCTGCTACCCCCGGCGGAGGACGGCGGAAGGCAAGAAGGCACTCCCCCTGGAGCCGGGGCGGCAACAAGTACAAAGCAGACGGCGAGCAGTGTGCCAAGAACATCGGCAGTTAGTGCCTCCGCAAACGTGGACCACAACGATACAAAGAGAATCAGCACCGCGCAGCTTGTTCGAGATGAACAGGAACCACACAGCTTCCAGAGGGCACAACCTCGGCCAGCGGCATTCCGGCAAGGCAGCGGCAACCTCGAGTCCTTTAACGAGCACCTCGAATATGCAAATACAGATAATTCCAATTTCCCGCACACGTACAGAATGCATGAAAGTTAATGAATTCTGGCAGCTATAATTTAAGAAGAGCCTGCATTCAGAATTGTAAAAATGCTGAGCACTACTAGTAGTACTAGTAGCCCTTTGGCTAAACGTAGCCCTAGTAACTAGGGCTAGCGCCGTACTAGCTCAAAGGAAAGCTTTTGTCAACATCATGCGGGAACGAGCGCAAATCGTACGTGTAGTCTGGAGGGAAAAATGAATTTTCTTTGGACATCAAGGAAAAGCGGGATGTGATGTATCGTTACATCTGGCTCGATTACGGGATGAAGTTTCTCTGTCTAGCCCTTCTGGTTTTCACTCTCTTCCTATGAGAGTGCACAAGTCCCGACCCTCATCCAACTCATTTGTTTCCACGAGCCGTTGCCTCTTGTTTGCACTGCTTGCATGACCAGTTCCGGAAGGCGAAACACGACTAGAATCGGGCATCAATTTGTCATGCAAAAGCTGCATTCTTGCCAGGGCTTGTGTTGCTGTGAATGCCATCCAAATGAGGGGGAGGGGGAGTTGTGCTCTCTCATACTTCCACTGGTGCTCGTCGCGCGGCTACACGGCGCTGCAAGCCGAAATCTTAAAGGAATTGCTGGAGCCGATCACGTTGATAGGATTGATTGTTGATGTGGTCACGAAAAAGATCATCACCGCTGTCGCCGGGACGGATCTGATCTTGTTATCAACTGCAAATTATGTAATCTGGGTCTGGAAACTTGTGATGCGCGTCGGACGAGCATGAGGACATTTGTCGCAATTTTTGCTGGAGCAAATGGCAAACTCATTTGGAGCATTTGGGTACAACATACATGACAGACTTTGGAGTTCTTGTTTTCATGCTGGCCGAGCATGGCAAACCGTGCACTACTCTTCCAGACCACCCAAACATATAATTTGCAATCCATACTGATACGGCTACTGCAAGACCGAGCTTTGGTCCTTGCGGAACCGCAACAGGCTTGCCGGGTTAGACGTGTCGGAGTTCGCGGTCAGCGACAAGCAGATGCAGGTTTCTTTGGAGGAAATGGGGCTTTTGGTAGGGGCAACGGAACTCGACGCGTTTTTAGCTGGGCCGGGGGGCGGTGGAGTAGAGAGCGGAATAAAGCGGGCGTAATGAAGTATCGAGAACGGTGAAGCAGAAGGTGGAGGCTTTTGTGCCACTAGTTGTTGCCCAACCACACGACAGTAAAGCGTTTTTTTCTTTCCCACTTCAGGTGCATTAGTATTTTCTCTTTACTTTTTTACTTTTGAGATTCAGCATCAATGTCAATCATGAAATATTCATCACATGATGAATCCATCACACAAGTGATTTTCAAAACAGTGCAGTTGTGCCCTCTGTAAATCTTTTCGCCGCATCATGGATGGTCTCGCTTCTAATTCAATCTCAGATGAAAAAGAATATCTCACTCAACTCGTGACGGCTTTTTCTGTTTTCTCGCTTACTATGCCGTGGCGATTTTCTGTTCAATGTCAACTTACGCATTAGTCATTGTGAACCTTCTGGTTCTGTCAAGGTTGCTTTATCGGGGTCATCATCGAAATCGAACTTACTATGCATTCTGCTTTTACGTATATGTTCTTCGTAGCATGACCCGGGGAAGGCATTCATCGCGAATGAAGCGTCCATTATCGTCGTCTTCCTATTGAAACACTGAGAAAAAGGAAGGATGACGAAGCGTAGATTGAGGCAAAAGGTCTCTGCGTCAATTTCGTCAAGTCGTTAGTATATATTTCGTAGTCAAGAAATCATCGTGGCTTGGATTTCGAGGGTCTACTGGGGGCAGCTTCTGTAAAAACCTTTTCGTAAACCAAAAGGATGCAACTTCGTGTTTCATGCATGTAGATTGTAGAAGTTCTAGTTGTTCTTCAACATTACTCGTATACAAAAATAGAAGGGATCGATTGATTTTTAGCAAATGACTTTCAACAAATAGCAGTACTTCTCAGCTGCGCGGTCCAGGATCAGGTGGGCTCTTCGATTCGCATTGTTTGGTTAAATATCCCTGTCCACGAAAGTAAATAAAAAATAAAAAATATAGATAACAGACCACGTACAAAACAATAATAAAAAAGATGCTTCTTGTACTTGTTCCACCTTTTACATCGTGGCGAGGACGGCCACGCCTACGAGCTCAGCCACCGCTCGTGCTAGCCGCTCTGAGGGTCATCGTCGCGCACCTCGGATGTCATCTAGTATCGCCTTCCCACGGCCATCTCCGAGGTCAAAACGGAATCAGATCGCGAGCAGGAGAACAAGAAGACACGACCGCGGCTGGGGAAGACTCGACTCAGTTGATGACGAATGATCCACACGAGGACACGATACAGACACAGGCGTTTTTGGAGCTGGACACGTCGGGAGAGGGCCGTTCTACTTCCATGCTGGAGGAGGGAGAACAAGACCAAGATGATCTACTTCTCTACTCGGGAAAAACGTCAACAACAAGAACAGCATCAGCAGCCCCCGCCGCGAGCTCGACCCTGTTGGAGATGGAAGTCGGGACCAGAAGTATGGAAGCGTCAGGATCCAAATCGACAAAGTTGAAATAGAAATTATTTGTCATGCATAAAATGCAACCCACAAAGTGCCTGTCTTGCAGCGTAGGCAAGGGAGGCAGATTGTAAGCCTGCTGAGGGATAGAAATAGAGCTGCTAAAGTAGTATGACAAAAGGCGCCTTCCTTACCCAAACAGCATTACAAACTGGATTTAGGCACCACCAAAATTTGTCATGCGCCACTTACAAACTGGGTTCCAACTCGCATCCATTTTGTGCATGACAAATCATTTCAACTTTGTCGATTTCAAACCTGACACTTCCATAAGAAGCAAGCTACCAGAAGGTGGAGCCTTCTCGTTCCGAGTATGCAATGCAAAAGCATCGTACTAGTATAAATTGCATTACAAATTAGCCCAGCATTACAAATTTGATTTGTAATGCGGATTTGCCTTGAGAAAGAGATTTGTAATGCATGAATGCAATTACTACGAGTGCGATACTTTTGCACAGGATACAGAGAGCCGCTGCGGCCGCACCAAGTGGGACTGATCGGAGGTAATCACTCGTTGCGTGGTGTCAAAACGATCAACGATCTGGATTTCTACGACGAGTATCGCGGTCACAAAATCGGGCACCTCGAGACTGTGGTCGGCCTCTTCACACAGTGTCACAAGCTGCCGGCAACCAGTCCCAATTCCTGTCCCGATACGAGCATCGTGTTCCTGTTGGGGGATAGCTCTCTGGACAACAAGCACTGGCTGTATCCCACGAAAAACGACAAAGGAGAGCCAGACAAAGCCAGCCTGGCCGACGGCTCATTCACCGCCCCGGCTGTCAACGGCTACGAGAAGGTTGTGGGTGCGAGCGGGCGGATGGTCAAAGACGTCTGCTACTGGCTCAACCGGAAGTCCGCAGAATCTTCGAAATGGTTCAAGCAGAACGAGGAGGACGTGCTGGTGAAAGAGCACCCGTACCCACACCTCCTCTTCGTGAACTCTGCCGTCGAAGAGTCGACGCTTTCCAGCCGCGCATCGGGGCTGCTTCCCCAGGACAAGTTTGTTTCGAACCACCTCAAGCCGCAGGATATTCTCTTGGTCTCCGTGGGGCACAATGACATGGCGTTTCTCCACGTGCAGCAAGCGGCGCGGGTCTATGCAAGAAAAAAACTTTGTATAGTGTAACTCTGAAATGCAGAACATGCAAGAACAGAGTTACGCCTGTCATGCCAGATAACCATGAAGTCCTCTTTTCGTGTGTGTTTTCCCTTACAAGTCACGCATGACCGGATTTCTCTGAGATGTAGAGCAAATTTGTCATTACACTTACGCTAACCAAAGAAGGTTACACTAACACAGTTTTTTTCTTGGATAAGGTCCTGCAAGAGGGCACGACGGATGAAAAGCTGACCCAGTTGGCGGTCGAAAACTTTTCCCATATTTACAAGGAGGACACGGAGCGGTACATCAACAGTATTCTCGGGGACTCGACGTGCAAGATGGTGGTGGTGTGCATGCTCTACCACCTGGATGAGAATGACGAAGCATTTTCGTGGTGGGAAAGGGGGTTCCAAGCGCTGGGCCTCATTGGCAACCCGGAGAACAAGCGGCGCATGAAGGTGGTGCAGCACGCGCTTTTCGAACACGCGTTGAAGCAGCTGCAAATCCCGAACGCGGAGAAAGTGGTTCCCCTGGAGCTGTCGCGGGCACTGGACGGGACGAACTCGCTGATGTACGAACAACGTGTTGAGTATGGCGTTCTCAAATGTTACGTTCTCAACTGTTAATACATGATTTGTCATGCAAAACTACAATCTATCAGAATCTGAATCGGCACGGTCAAGCTGCTTCGCATGACAGATTCTTGAAGGGCCAAACAGGCTGAGAAACTGTTCTTCCAAATCTTCCATGCGAGACGCGCAAGGTCACCCCGTCCACTTTTTTCATTCTTGCGTCACAAATTCATGTAACAGTTGAGAATGTAACAGTTGAGAGCGCCATATGGAGCCCAGTGTCCTGGGGGGCGAAAAACTGGCGGACTTGATTCTGGACACCATCAAGGAAAACTTGTAAACGCCGGAAAATGTGGTTGACGATGTACAAACATGATTCAGTACCTGATTTTCAATGAACAAAATGAGATTTTTGAATGTTCCAATGTAAATACGACTCTGCTCCGTCTGCATGCTTAAAATTAATATAGATATACACGACTGCTCGTGCTCGTCGTTCCGCCCTCCGTGATTTTACCACGCAAGCGCAAGAATACGATAGTGCTACCCTCTGTTTAATTAGCATCACTGATTATTTTCAACAACATCCTTTCTAGGAACCCAAACTTTTAAATGTACGAACAACTCGAGCAGAGCGACGACGTTGGCAAATTGATTCATTGACGTTCAATAATCTTGCATCTACCCTTTACCTTGACAATTGGGCTGCACTTGATTGTTAAGGCTACTACTCGCACAAAAATACTCAGAAATTATAGAGTGCGGCGATATAATGTAGAAGAAGTAATTGTTGAACTACTTCGTGGTCGTCTCGTGCATTTCCATTTCGTTGCCTTCGAAAGAAAAACAGTGGCTTCGCTTGAGAAGCGTCGCTGACTTCTCTTTAGAAAAGGTCTAGCTTCAGTTGATGTAGATTTCTCTCGACGTTAGTAGCAACCTACAACCACGTCACCTATTGGAACGACGCTGGATAAAATAGAAAATGTAGTTGCAGAAAAACAACGACAGGCAAATAAAGAGATTTTGCCGATCGTCGCTATTTGACAGACCACACGGACCGCTTGATGAATTGCACCAATTGCATCAGCATTCATCCCGTGCTGCTTCTGCATAGTTGCTAACGCTATCCACCTCTTTTTGAGCGAAGCAAATGTGAAGGCGATGAAGCCCGCCGCTTTCGCGCACTTCTACTTGTTACGAGGGCCAACTCAATTCTCAATTCCACATGTTGGAGTGGTATTTTTCGCAGTAAGTACATTGCGTGATCTTCTTGAAAAAAGTGGGCTATGTTGACTGACGCGAAGGATGGCGAGCGCGCATTACACCAGTGAGTGTTGAGGGAAAGTAGGCCGCTTCACAATCCTAAGAGTGGTGTTCGAGATGAAAGAGCATTTTTGTCAAATGAAAAACCTCAGGTGTCAAACTTCGAAGCATTGGCTTGTTGGCCTGGACGGACACAGAAAGGAAAGAGCGCAAACTCATCTTCAAATCGTTGCAAAGAACTTCGTTGCTGCAAAAGCTACTTTTAATTCTTCGTTCTTTGGAGTCGAGAAAACAGAGAAAAATCACGTTACTCAGGATCGATCCGAAGCGAGATAGGCTACCAGCATGCAGCGACCTACTTTTCGAGCATCCATCGATTCGTGTTGCTGCAAACGAGCTCACGACCGTGTTGTGGGCCTCTGCGTGAAAGATTAACAAGACAACCCGATGCTGGATCGGCGGCGTGACTTTTTGCTGGAAAAGACAATCATCAAGCAGGAGCGGAGCCGCAGGAACTACATCAACGCTTCACAAATTCCACGTCCTCCGAAATAAAAACGAGGACTGAATCGGCGCAAGACCTACAGCACCATCATATCACAACAGACAAATCCAGTGAAACTGCCACGGCATTCGATCGCGGCAGCATGGTGGTCCACCTCCAGCAGGCCCCGCCTGTGATGAATAAGCTGCGGGTGCGTCGCAGCACCGACCACGCAGAGTTCGTATCCTGTGGAAAAATATCGTACTCGTATAAATGCATTACAAATTTCCTCAGCATAAGAAATAAAATTTGTAATGCTGATTTGCCTTAGCAAAAAGATTTTTAATGCATGATTGCAATACGAGTACGATACTTTTGCACAGGATACTTCGATTTTGACGGCGAAAACGAAGAGATCCCGACCGAGTACCACGACCACCCTATTGTCGTGTCTCTACGCATTGCAAAATTAAAATTATCGTACCGAGTACAAATTGCATGACAAATTTTCTCAAGAACAACAATGTTTATGTTGCAACTTGTCATGCTAGATTACTTATGCACCGAAACAACCAAAATATAAGACAGACAGATCTGTAATGCTGATGGATGACTGCGATTAGAAGTACTACGAGCGCGATGTAATATACTTTCGCACAGCATAGTCTCAGACATCCAACACGAACTCCGCTTCGTCCTCCTACGCAGAGCCGGTACTGTACACGAGCGGGCTACAACAGCAAAAAGGGACCACCACTGCGAACAAAAGTGCCACCTCGAATCAACAGGTAGTTAAAAGCAGCTACAATGTATCGAACAGGATGGAAATGCTGATGAACCCACCCAGCTGCACATCATCAGCGACTCAGCAACCTACAAGAACCCTTCCGCCGAGCTTTCTCCCCAACAAAAACAACAGTGGCATCGCGTTGCTCCGGAAAAATCAACACCAGGGAGGTGGTGGCGGGAGTACTAGTGTCTACAACCAGCGTTCGGCAGCTCCATCAAGAGCTGCAGGAGGAGGAGTTGCAGGAGCAACCCGCGTATGCTGTGCAAAAGTATCGACGTACTCGTGTAAATGCATTACAAATTTCCTCAGCATGAGAAATAAAATTTGTAATGGGGATTTGCCTTTAAGAAAATGACTTGTAATGCAAGACTTGCATTTATAAATATGAGTACGATACTTTTGCACCGGATACCGTGCGCGCAGCGCCAGCGTGACGACGCACTATACCCGCGGCGGTGTTGGCGGTGTAGCAGCAGCAACGACCGCTCCAGTGACAGAGGCCATCAATCGGGCGCTACAATTCGGGCATAGTGTTAGTAACGATGATTCCGACGTATTTTTAAACACGAGCTACGACAACGACTCCTTAGCTTCGAGGTCGACCAATTTTCAGCCAATGGCCCCGCCTTTCGTGCCATCTTCGACAAGTAAAAACCCAAGGAATCCACCGCCCGTAGTTCACCAGTCTTCAACGGCATCGCTGCATCGAGGAAATTTTCTGCTGAGACATCCCACCGCGGGCAGTGGTGGCGCGCCACCGCGGGCAATGAGCGCAACGAACCGCAGATTTGCGACGCGGCGTGGAACAAATTTGGGAGCGGTGAGCAATGTGCTGCTCGTTCCGATGCACGGATATCTTGTGCAAAAGTATCGTACTCGTATTGCAATCATGCATTACAAATTTTTTTCTCAAGGTAAATCCGCATTACAAATTTAATTTCTCATGCTGAGGAAATAATGCATTTATACGAGGACGATACTATACTTTTGCAATGCATAACGGAAAAACGGTGACGACGCCAGAGAACTCGGTGAATACCTCGTTGCTGAGTGGTGCCAGTGGTAGTGGAATGGCAGGCCAACACGTGGTCGACCGAAATCGACGAAGCCCTCACAGTTGTGCAGCAGCTGCAACTCCAGGCGGAGTAGTCGACCCGTTGCTCCAATCTGCTGCCGCGCTCGAGCAAGCTCTGTTGGAGAAGGAGCACGAAGCACAGGAACAGAACATTGAGTCCTCTCTGATTGCCAGGACGGTTTCGTTCTCCAAGTTAAGTGGTAAGCACGACGGAACAAATACCGGGACGAACACTACTTTTGCGAATCTTCATAATGCAACTTATGATTCGGCGGGGGCTTCGAGCAAAAATTCGGCTCTGCGTCATTCGTTTTCGGAGCAACACCTACAGCATCCCGCGCGCGCGTCTCCTGGTGCGGTCGACTCTGCAATGCAAGCAGTGTTGTCGAACTCTTCGCCGATCGAGAGAGATCATAATCAGGGACAAGGAGGAATGCCGGCGCGGCCGCAGTATTACGGAGCGCAGGAGCAGCATCATAGCTTCTATCAACACGAGAACTACACAGCTGCCGTCGCTGTAGGAGTACCACGGCAACACGCAGTCCCTTCGAATAGCAGTGGAATAAATGGTGCCATCATGCGCATGCACTCTGTCCCGGTGCTGAGTCACTCACATCGAGGACATCCCATACAACTTGCGATGTCGCAACAGCAGGGCGGCCCTTTTTACCGGTTTCATTCCGGAAGGCAAGGGCTGCAACCGACTTCTATGGGTTTTGCTCCCGCCTCCGAAGCGGGACATGAGCACCACGCCGCTCCGTACGCTTTTCCGGCCACGACTTTTGCTTTTGCGGGGCATTTTTACCCACATCAACAGCTCAAGAGTTCGCAGCCTAACGCTAGTACAACAGGCAGCAACCCCTTCGAAACGCCGCAGCAAAGCATCATTCCGCCCCACGTGGCCAGTGCCGGACCGGTCCCGGTGCATTCTAAATTATCTGTGTCCCTTATGACAGTGCACAACTCCCCCTCCGCCTCATTTGTATAGCATCAACGGCAATACAAGCGTCAGCAGGAGTGCGGGTTTAGCATGACAAATTTGCACAGGAGTGTAGTGCTATTTGGGCTACCAGAACTTGTCATGCATCATAGTGACAGGAGGCAAAGCGTAGATTTGGCACTTTGCATGAGAAATGAGAACGAGGGGGAGTTCTAGTGCACTCTCATATCCCTGCAAGAATCGCAACAGACAGTCCTGGAGGCCGGCGCCGGAGCACAACATCAAGCACCACCGCCAGTGCCCACATCGCACTTTTCCACGCTTCAGTTCCAGCCAACGATCGTCCCGCAACATCCGATTCCGAGGAGCCCGAGCGCGGCGGCTGCGGCGTCGTTGGCGTTTCCGATAGTTGTACAAGCAGCTGCACCAGTGGCGAGCAGAACTGGTACTGCGCCAAGAATGGTCGAGGACCACTCCGTAGTTCCTCCTGTCGTCGTGAAAACCCGGAATCACGATTTTTTGAACGGGAAGCCGATGCAGCTGCCCACCTCGACTACTGGAAACGTGGTTGTTGTATCGAGCGGAAGTAGAAAGGAGCGGGCTCGTGCTGTCGTGGTACCAGACCGGGGCCGCCAGGAGGATGATCAGAACGTCCCCGAAGAGCAGCTGGGGAATTCTAATTCTACTTTACCAGGCGGTGTAATCCATATTCCCACGAAGGAGCTGGCGGTGGTCGAAAGGTACTACTCGTCCGAAGCTGAAGCACGGGACGAGCAGGACGGAGAGCACGACCTGAATGGTGATCGTGAAGACGTAAACCAAAACGCAATAAAACGCGATGCAGCGGATCATGATGATCGTGACGTGCTGCACAAAGATCCTCCCGGGCGTGTTGCTGAAAACAACAAGAAGATGAATTTGGCAGCTGTATTACTAGAGGAGGAGTTCAACAATACGGAGCATTGTCAGCTTGCTGGAGGAACACTACAACAACCGGAGGAACATCTACATCACCAAGGTCTTGCACAGCATCACACTAATTTCGAAATCGCGCCACTGGATGAAAAAGAGAACAGCAAAGAGCTACGAGAAGCTGCAGGAACCTCCAGTAGTGTATCATCTGCTACATTTTCCAAAGCCGTCAAGCTCCCGGCCATGAACCAGTTCTGTTTCTATCAGGAACCGCCCCCATGTGTAGTAGCTGCATCTGGTACAACTTCTTCGGAGCACATCCATTTCTCGGACGAAATTGCGCTTCCACTGCCTGAAAATCTAGTACAACACGACGACTGCTCATCTTCATCCTCAATAGTTTCGAATTCCGAAATGGTGAAGAATAACATACTGATCAGCATTCCAGTACCGGTAGAACTCGGCGACAGTGAGAAGGAAGAACAAGAAGGAGAATCTGAAGACCCCCGGCACGACCTCGGTGCAGAAGTGAGAGTAGAAGTTGTGCACGACATAGAAGAATGCAACAAAAACCTCCTGCGAAATCACAACGCGAGCGGGGTTGTAATGAAAAATGCTTCGTCTGTAAGCGGCGTAGCTGGAGGCGGTGGTGGGACAATTACTTCTTCCACACAGGGCCAATGCAACTACACGGCGACAGTGGGAGCCGTACAAGGAGACGAGACGGAAAAAGCTCCGTTTGCTGCACCAGCGCAACAGGATCGGCGCGAAGATGGTGGTATCGCCGGCAACTACAAGGGAAATAAGTTTGTCGTGGATG